CAGCATCATGCACAGGACCTGGCAGGTCCTGGGGGGAAGGACACAGTGTCAGCCTCTCCAGAGCCAGGGTCTTGGGAAGGCACTCTGCCCCAGTACACCCCAGGACCGCAAGTAGGTGGCCCTGCACAGCTGGTGAAGGAGAAGCAGGGGTGTGGGGTATCACGCTTGCTGACATCCTCTCTGCCGACCCCTTCCCTGGCCTAAGCCAATGAGAGTCAGCCCTACCTCCAGACTTTCCTCTTCTGGTAGCCAATAAATTCTTGGGGGGCGGCAGCCACTCAGGAGGTCTCCTCCATGTGAGGTAGGCTGCCTATCTACTCTGGCTCATGCTACCGCTTCCTAAAGACCTCCCCAAGAGCTTCAATGGATTCTGAAGGCCGCTGGGACTGTAGAGAGGAGGGCCTGGTTGTCGGAGCCAATGTGCTGGGCCCTAGTGACACCCCGATACAGTGAAGAGACTGCTTCAAGGCCTTCCCGGCTGCTGCAGAGGGCTTCTGGGGGACAGCCAGAGGACCCTGTACCTTCTGGCTAAGAGCAGGTCTGAGGAACCCCAAATCCTGGTCCTGCCTTCAGGAGGGGTGGCCTCAGCAAATTGCTTGACCTCTCTGAGCTTCCTTGAGTGAATCCTCTGAAATCTCTGGTCTGAGCAGAGGCCCTGGAGTGCCAAGACAGGCGGTGTGCCTCGTATCTCGGGCCTTCGGAAAGGGCTATGGGAGGGCGTCTGAGGGAGAGAGAGGCAGGGCCATGCTCACTTGCACGTGTTGGTAAAGATGATGATGGACCAGTCCTCGTGCTCGTCCTGGAAGTTCTGAATCAGGTGGACCAGATAGGCATCCTTGACCTTCTCAGGCACCAACAGGTAGCGCTGGTCCAGCTGTTCTACTGTACGTACCCTGGGGATGGGGGGGGGGGGGCTCAGTTTCCCCTACTGCTGAATGCAGCCAATGCCCCTCACTGTCCGAGTGCAGTAACCTCTGTTGGGTGTGGCCCCCCACCCCTTGCCTGCCCTGCCCTGCCCCTCGGGACCTGGCTGTGGACTCACGGGGCCTGAGCCTCCCAGAAGAAGGGCTGGTTGGTGGCCAGGCCCTGAAGCTCTCTGAGCGTGTCAGTCAGTGTGGCGCTGAAGAGCAGGGTCTGCCGGCGAGTGGGCACGGCCGCCAGGATGGCCTCCAGGTCGACGGTGAAGTCGGTGCAGCCCTGCTCCAACAGCCGGTCTGCCTCATCCATCACCTGCAGCACCAGTGGCCGGGGGTAGGGGAACTGGGGTGAGAGTGCTGTCTGGGGCCTGCTTCCCCCACATGCCTCCTTCCCAGCTTTGCACATGGGCCCTGGAGCGTTCTCCCTCTAGGTCTCGGACATCTGCTCCCTCAAGCATTTCTGCGCCTCAGAGAGGCCCTGCCCCCCACCACCCTGGCTTGTTGATCCCTCAGCTGTCTTTGTCACCCTTCCTAAGGCTCTGCTGGATGGCCTGCGGGACACATGTCCCAAATGGATGAATCCGGGCCCCAGACCGACTCACCAGGAAACGGATCTTCTTTATGCTAAAAGTGTTGGAGCTACGGAGGTGGTCAGCCAGGCGCCCTGGTGTGGCGATGACCACATGTGGTTTCCGGGAGAGCTCCAGGGCCTGAGCCACCATATCTGCAGGTGGAGTGTGAGAGGTGGGTCTGGGTGGGTAGCCTGAGGCCGCGGGGGGTCCCCTACCCAGAGCCTCCCTGGGCCCTCTGTACCCATGCCGCCGACAATGATGCAGTCTTTCAGGCCCAGAGGCTTCCCCAGGACCCGGAACTGCTCTGCAATCTGGTAGGCCAGCTCCCTGTGGGTGTGAAGGGGCCAGGCTGGGTTAAATAGGGGTTCTGTGCCTGCCCCCCATTCCCATGTCCATCCCTCAGACCTCCTGACTGGCCCTCTCCTGTTTACACACCCACCACAGCTCCCAGTTCCCTCTCGATAAAGGCCCTGATACTGAGCACTGGAGCCCTGTTGTCGGCTGGGACCCAGACATCCCACGGCCCCTCTCCCACCAGTTCCACCCAAACTGGCCTCTCCTCCTCAGCAGTGGCCTCGACACCACAGTCACCAAAGCCCGAGACCTAAGCGTCAGTGCCCTCTCCCCTGGGGCTGGTCAGTGTCCATGTCCTTTCTTCCCTACCCCTCAGCCCCAGCTCTGCCCAGGCCTCTCCTTGGCCCATGTGCCCACTTCCTGTCCTCCTGTCTTGCCCTCTCCTGTCGACATACTCACAGAATTGGTTCTAACTCTCAGACTTTTCTCAAGTTGGCTCTAACCTGCCCGGCCTGAATTACCCCAAGTTCCCTGCCTCTCTCACACCTCTGCTCGAATACACTAGCAGTTCCCTCGGCCTAGAATCTCTTTCCCCAACCTTGTCCCTTTGAGAGACCCTTGTCATCCTTTAAGGCATCCCGGGAATGAAGCCTTCCTCGCCAGGCCACACCCTCACAGCATACACACTCTCCTACTGGCATTAGAGGACTTACCATGTCAACTGCCGTATTTGTCTGCCCAAGAACATGAGATGTGTCTCCATCTTGGGCTACAAGACTACTGATAACTCCTGTCTAGCCGGGGCTTGCCATGAGACAAGCCCTGCGCTCAGCACTTCTCACACACTATCCTGGTTAATTCTGTACCTCCCTTAAGAGACAGGAATGATTCTGTCCCCATTTTATATGTAGGGAAAGTGTGCTCAGAGAGGTAAAGGTGCTTGCCTAAAAACACAGATGGTTAACTCACCCAGAAAGCCTGTGGGGGGCTCACCTGGTGGGTGTCAGGACGAGGCAGAAGATGCCATAGGGATCCTCAGACAGCTTCTGTAAGATGGGCAGGACAAATGCTGCTGTCTTGCCACTGCCTGTCTTGGCACAGCCCAAGCAGTCCCGACCTGGGCAGAGGGCAAAGGAACGTCAACATACTCCAGGTGTAGACAAGGGTTCTACTGGGCACAGTTTAGAATAGCTAACGTTCCATGAGCAGTTACCGTAGGTCCAAAACTGGCCTATGTCATTTACATTCTGGGCATACAGACAAATTCTCGGAGGGTGCAACCATTATTGTCTCCGCTGAACAGAAAGGGAAATGGAGTCTCAGAGATGTGCCCAGAACACACAACCAGTGAGTAGCAGGCTGGAGTGGAACCCACATCCATCCGACCCAAGATGCTACTACTACTTTTTTTTTTTTTTTTAAGATTTTATTTATTTATTTAAGAGAGAGGGAGAGAGAGCACAAGAGGGAGGAGCGGGAGAGGAAGAATCAGACTCCCTGCAGAGCAGGGAGCCCATCGCGGGACTCGATCCCGGGACTCCAGGACCATGACCTGAGCCGAAGGCAGTCGCTTAACCAACTGAGCCACCCAGGCGCCCTACTTTTTTTTTTTTTAAGATTTTATTTATTTATTTGACAGAGAGTGAGAGAGCACAAGCAGGGGGAGCGGCAGAGGAACAGGGAGAAGCAGGCTCCCTGATGAGCAGGGAGCCCGACTCAGGGCTTGATCCCAGGACCCCAGGATCATGACCTGAGCTGAAGGCAGATGCTTAACTGACGGAGCCATCCAGGCGCCCTGCTATTGGTCACTATCTCATTTTGACTCCCTCACAGAGCATCCCGGCTTAGGGAAACCTGAATGCCCTCCCCCAATCTGCATCCTAGGCTCCCTTACTGATTTCTTCATCTTTGTTTATTTAATCCCTCAACCCTCAACTTGGTACTTCCTAGGCTTCCTAAGAGCATCTGTCTGTCTCTCTCTTTTTTTTATATATAGAGAAAAAGCGCGGGGAAGGGGGAGAAGCAAAGGGAGAGGGGGAGAGAAAGAATCCCAAGCAGGCTCCACGCAATGTTGGGCTTGCTCTCGACCCTGACAACATGACCTGAGCGGAAATCAAGAGTCTGACGCTTAACCGACTAAGCCACCCAGATGCCCCTAAGAGCATCTCTTTAATGGCAAACTGGGTTGGGCCAGAGTGGGTAGCAGAGGATTCATGGGACCAGAGTCCTGCCTTTACCAGTAATCTTGACCTCAGTTTCCATTTGTTGTTGTTGTTTTTTAAAAGATTTTATTTAGTCATTTGACAGAGAGAGACACAGCGAGAGAGGGAACACAAGCAGGGGGAGTGGGAGAGAGAGAAGCAGGCTTCCTGCGGAGCAGGGAGCCTGACGCGGGGCTCGATCCCAGGACCCTGGGATCACGACACAAGCCGAGGCAGACGCCCAACGACTGAGCCACCCAGGCGCCCCCTCAGTTTCATTTGTAAAATTAAGATGGTAATGCAAACTACCAAAGTTTTCCAATAGTATCGATTAGTCATTCATCCCTGTGCTCTGAGGTCACGAAAGTACTGGGATTACATCACTTGTGTGCGGACACACAGGGAGTCAATTGTGCATTCCAAACGCTAACACTGCCCAATCTACCTTTGGGACCCAGGCTCGCCCATAACGCCCAAGCGTATCCCTCGCCTCGCAAGAGTGGCGTGGGTAAAGGCTGCGCGAAGGAAAGGGAGCCGATGGAGGGGGAGGGGCTTCCTGGGGAAGACGACAGGCCACACTTACCCTCTAGGATGGCGGGGATGCAGCCGAGCTGTACAGGCGTGGGCTGCTTCAAACCCAGCTGCCGACATTGTTCCACAAGCCACGATGACAGCCCCAGCTCCGCAAAGCCAGCCATCCTGCCCGCCAGACCCGTGTGAGCACCCGTGTGAGCTGTGCTTTCCGGCGCGTACCGATGACGTCACAGAAACCCTCCCCTTTACTGGATCGCTAGCTGCGTGGTCCCACCCACCTCTAGCTCGCTCTGCCATTCCCAGCCTCGACACCATGCCTACCATGTTTCCCCGATTTCCATTGGCTCGCGCGATAAAATCAAACTACAATTCCCGAATGCCCTGCGAGTCGCAGTTGCGACTCCCGTCCTTTAATTCCCGTTTGGTTCATCTCCAGACAGGAACGAGTAAACTACAATACCCAGCGTGCCTTGCGGTGAGGCCCTGCTTCCGGCCGACGTGTCCCTCCGGAAGAGGAGCGACTGGGACCACAGCGATATGGCGCCTCCGGCTCCCGGCCCGGCCTCCGGCGGCTCCGGGGAAGTGGACGAGCTGTTCGACGTGAAGAATGCCTTCTACATTGGCAGCTACCAGCAGTGCATTAACGAGGCGCAGCGGGTGAAGGTGCGGCCGCTCGGGGGCGAGGGGATGGTGGTGGCGAAAGACGCTTCCTAGTGGCCGCTGGTCGCGCTCTGATTTTTAAAAAAAATCTTCCTTCTTCTTGCGGCATTTTCCCCCCAACGTATCTCTTCAGAGCGCTCTGAGGAGTTACCCTTGCCTATCACAAAACTCAAAGCCGTGACAGTTTTTGATATTTCTCACTTTGAGAGCTCGTTCTGCGCTGTGGAAGGCATTTGAGTAAGGGAGGTGTTTATGCTACTATAGTATTAATAATAGTAATTTTCACTTGTGGAGAGCCCATATGTGCCACCATACCCTCAATACCCGTGAAGTAGGGATTGTTGTTTGTTCTCATTTTAGGATGCTAAAGAGAGAAATGGCTTCCTCGACGTTACCCTGCTCCACTAGCTCTGTTATTTCTCCCCAAACTTGCCCATTCATTTCATTCATTCATTCATTTATTCATTCATTTCCTCATTGAGCTTCTCTATGGGTCAGGCGGTGTATTCGTGCTGGGTTCAAAGCAGTGATAAAATAGATAAAACTTCGTGGTCTCTTGGAAACCTTAAGGTCCTCAGGGAGACAGTAAACGAGTAAATAAACAAGAAGTCAGGGGGTGGTGTGATGGACAGTGATGGGAATGAGGTTGGCCATTTGAGAGCCAGAAAATAGCCCTGCTAGGCAGGGCCCAGCCAGTGGATAACAAGAGGGGGCGGCAGGTCCTTTAGCAGGAACTTTTAGGGAGGGACATGGACGTTACTGACACTTTGTGAACTATTGGCGATTCTCTAAGAGCAGTGAAATTGACAGGGTCTTGCCCGCCCTTGTTGTTGTTAACCTTAAAAAAAACTGGCAAGTTATTTTACTAGCAAAATGGGTTTATTGGGGAAATGGATAATTGCAGTTTGGGACGTATAACCTATGGCAAAACCATAGGCAAGCCAGAGAACAAAGAGGACTGCTCTTTCACAGGGGAAAGGGGGAATTGAGAGGGGCTGTTATAAACAAAAAAATCCATTGGAGTAAACTGGGAGCTCAAAGTCTAGTGGCTTCTCATTGCCTGAGTTGTGACAGTCTCTCCTTGGCTAGGCAGTTGCCAGGCAAGGAGACGATCTTTCATCCTCCTGTGAGGATGATAAAGTGTATGTTTCCTCCTGTGGGGAATGCGTGGTACCTCCTCTTCTGTTGGGGTCTGCCATTGACCTCTAGTGTCAGGGCTTGAGAGCTCCCCCTTCTGGCCTCCTGACTCTGTTTTCAACTAGTTTTCTTTTTATTAGTTTTCACATAGCCTAGTGTCCTAGAGAGGTTAAAGGAGTAAAGAAGCGAGTAAATATGTAGTAACTTGAGTGCTTAAGGGGTGAGATAAAAAGTGCTGAGTTGGAGGGGTGCCTGGCTGGCTCAGTCCGAAGAGCAGACGACTCTTTTTTTTTAAAGATTATATTTATTTATTTGACAGAGAGAGACACAGCGAGAGAGGGAACACAAGCAGAGGGAGTGGGAGAGGGAGAAGCAGGCTTCCCACTGAGCAGGGAGCCCGATGTGGGGCTCGATCCCAGGACCCTCGGATCAGACCTGAGCCGAAGGCAGACACTTAATGACTGAGCCACCCAGGCGCCCAAGCATATGACTCTTGATCTTTATTGTGAGTTTGAGTTCGAGCCCCATGTTGGGCGTAGAGATGAGTAAAAATAAATAAATAAACTTAAAAACAAAAAACACCCAGCACATATACCTGTCTTAAAAAAAAAAAAAAAAAGGTTTTGTGTTGGAAAATGGGGGTGAGGAGGCTGCTGACTCTGGGAGTGATCCGGTAAGCCCCAGCCTCTCTGACCATCATTTGAACCTGAGACTGAACCTTGAGATGCGTCTAACCCCATAAATTGCTGCCAAGGTCCTGAGGCAGAGATGAGCTCCGGGTAGTCCGAGCATAAAAGGTTGGTGTAGCAGAAGTGGGGTGAGTGTAGGCAGGGGGAGGATGGAGAATGAAGTGGGCAGGGCCCTAGGCAGGGCCTCGGGAGCCACAGTAGGGGTTTGGATTTTATTCTGAAGGTGTGGGAGGCCATTGGAGCACCAAGCAAAGGAGCAGAGGACTTCTTCACCAAGGCAGCCAGAGGCTTGGGAGGACTTTGGACTCTGAAATAGAGAAGGCTTGCTTGGTCATGCTTCTGGCCTTTGACAGTATTCCTGGTTTCCCTGAGCATCATGGGGATAAAGCCTAAAATGGACTTCAGGTAGCTGTCACACTTGAAATGACACTTGTGCAGTTGTATTCGTTTTCTGATGCTGCTGTGACAAATGACCACAAACGGCAGATTGTAGCCACACAAGTTCATTATCTCTCAGTTTCTGTAGATCGGAAATCCTACATGGCTCACATCAGGCTAAAATCAAGGTGTTGGCCAAGCTGTGTCTCTTCTGGAGATTCTAGGGAAGTATATGCTTCCAGGTTGCTAGCTCTGAGCCAGGGGCCAGCCTCAGCTCCTAGAAGCTTCTCTCCAATCCTCGGTCTTGCATGGGGTCTCTCCATGTCAGAACCAGCCACAGGATGTCGGGTCGAATCCTTCTCACAGTTGGGCTCGCTGGGATTTCTCCTGCTCCTGCATTATTTCTGACTATCCTCTGCTATTAAAGTTCTTACTATTAAGGGCTTCTGAGATTAGGCTGGGCCCTCCCCCATAACTCGGCACACTCTCTCCATTTTAGGATCCATAACCTTTGTCACATCTTCGAGGTCCCTTTGGTGACAGAATGGAAGCTGTTCCCAGGTCCCAGGGACTGGTATGGACATCACAGGGGGGCATCCCTTATTTGGCTCACCACCACAGTTGTGTGCCTCCTTCCTGGGGCATGTAGACAGAAGATCGAGACAGACCTGCGCTCAGACTCTGGCTCTGTTACATTCTCTCTGCAGCCAGGGCCAAGTCCCTACATTTCTGTGTGCCTGTCTCCCCTCTTGTCCGATAGGGACAATGACACCTGTCTCACCAGGGTCACTGTGAGATTCAGCGTCACAGTTATGCTCTGCTGTCTGGCTTCTGTTTTGTGTTCTACTTACATTAGCAGTACGTTCTTTGAGTCTTCTCCTGTCATAATGTTCAGACTTTCTGTCGCTGCTGAAAGGGAGGACCAGCGTGCCCTGCTATACTTAGAGAGGGACTGGAAACAGTCACGGAAACCGGACTGGTGGTCGCTGTGGGTGGATGCACACTGCAGCCCAGCCTCTCAGCCAGGGAACTGCTCTCTCTTTGGTGACTTGGGAAACATGCACTGGCCCAAAACCATGCCATTCTCCTTGTCCCCACTGAGCCATTCAGTGCGATTTAATTCTGGTCCATGGGCCACCTAAACCTTCTCTTAGGCAGCCTATACTAGGTTGAACGGTGTCCCCTAAAAGATATGTTCACCCGAAACCTGTGAACATGACTTATTTGGCAAAAAGATCATTGCAGATATAATTCCATAAGGGATCTCTGGATGTGATCGGCCAGGATTTCAGATAGGCCCTAAATCCAATGAGTGGTGCTCTTCTAAGAAAAAGGCAAAGAGAGGTTTGAGGCAGACAGAGAAGATGGAGGCAGAGATGGGGGGCGATGGGGCCACAAGCCAAGGAATGCTCGGAGCCCCCAGAAGCTGGAAGAGGCCAGGAAGGATCCTCCTATAGAGCCTTTGATGGGAGCATGGTCCTGCTGACCTTGATTTTGAGCTGCTAGCTTCCAGGACCATGAGAGAATAATTTGCTGTTATTTCCAACCATCTAGTTTATGGTAGTTCATTACAGTGGCCCCAGCAATCTCTGACAGACTTGAGCTGAGGTGGCCCCGCGTGGAACACCCAGGGTGTCCTTGCCCTTGATCGGATGTAGTGCTCTGTCACCATCGTGACGTTTCCTTGTTTGTCAGACATTCTTAAGTGCCCACAAGATGGTAGGTACTGCCTAGTCTTGGGGACGAAGCAGTGAAGAAAGCCTCAAGGAGCTGAAGGTCCAGTGTGGCCATCCTGACGGTGGCCCCCATCCCATCACTACCCAACCCCCCGTGGTACTCACTGTCCTCTGGATTAGCTGCACCTCTGAGCTGTCTGGGGGCAGTCAGGGGCCACTCTGGGGTCAGCCGGCATTGGTGGGTGTGGGCCTCCTGGCTTTGTTCTCAAGTAATTCTGGTGAGCTATCCCCAAGCTGCAAATGGCGGAGAAGCATTTGCTCAGAAACATGCCATTCCTGTTTTCTCAGATCTGGAGGTCTGCCTAGCACTCACCACACAGCTTCTGCCCGAGTCCTTACGAGCCTTCTTCCTTTCCTGGCTCTGGTCGTCTCCCCCATAGCCTCGTGGCCTGGCCAGGGCTCAGGGGGCTTCCCCACAGTCCCAGAGTGAGCAGTGTGTGAAATCCCCTCACCAGGGCTCCCCGGCTCTACAGCGGCGGGGCTGAGCAGCATGGCCCCGGCTGGACGCGGATGTCCCTGAGCCCGGGCAGCTGGCTGAGCTCTCCCAGAAAGGTCCTCTGAGTGAGGCAGACCTTTGTCTCCTCTGTTTTCCATGTTTAAAAAGTGTTTCGGGACAAAAACGGGACAGGAACAGGCTGCATGGAAATATTTGTTAAAAAAAGTAAAGTCCCTTTTGCACATCTCCTGGGTCCCATCGGTTCTTCAGAATCACCCATCCACCTCTGCATGGGACTCCTCCCAGGCTTTTTTTCTCTACCTTTTTTTCTTTTTTTTTTTTTTAACATATTATTTATTTATTAGAGAGAGAGAGAGAGAGAGGGAGAACACGAGCCGGGGGAGGGGCAGAGGGAGAAGTGGACTCCCCACTGAGCAGGGAGCCCGATGCGGGGTTCGATCCCAGGACCCTGGGATCACTGCCTGAGCCGAAGGCAGACACTTAACTGACTGAGTCACCCAGGCGCCCCTGTTTTCTCTACTTTTACAAACCCATGCACTGGGGCATTTTCCCCCAACATCTTGGACCACCCATACCACTGCGCGGCTTCTGTTTTGATCCGCTGCACCCTGGGGGTGCCTATCAGTATGAGTGGCCACATGTCCAGTGGTTAAAGGCGTGGGCTCCACCCTGACCCCTTGCTGTGCCGCTGGAGTGGGTGCCCCACTGTCTTTACCTGGACGGATGTGGGTGAGGATTGAGCCCCCGTCCCAGGGTGGTGGTGGTCTTGGACAAGATCAGGGCTGGGACGTAGGCCCAGTGTCCACTGGGCAAGCTGCCTGCTCCTGGCTTCCATGTGTCTGGCACGGGGCTCCAAGCGTCCTGAGCTGTCTCTCTCTCTGCAGCCCTCAAGCCCGGAGAGAGACGTGGAAAGGGATGTCTTCCTGTACAGAGCATACCTTGCACAGGTGAGTGTGGGCTAGTGACCTCCAGAGCCCTGGGACAACAGAGTAAAGGAACAGAGTGCTGGGTGGGGATGGGGGTGGGGACGCCAGACAAAGGAGGGCAGAGTCCAGGACTTTGAGCAGCCGATGTGGCCTCCACAAGTAGGTGGCCGTGTCCCTGAGGTTGTGGACTCACCAGGCCCAAGGACCAGCGTAGGGATTTCTCCCTTTTCTTTTTTTATGTAATCGGTAGGTTTTGTTTGTTTAGTACAGTTTTAGGTTTGCAGAATAATCAAGTAGATAGTAAAGAGAATCCCATGTACCCACCCCCAGCCCCTAGGCTGCTTTTCTTATTACTCACGTCTGAGATTGATGGGGTGCTTTCATTGGTGGATGCAGCAAGGTTGACACTGCTGTTAAGTCGAGGCCATAGTTTATTCCAGGCTCTAGGAACGTTGCCCTGGGCGTGCAAGCAGTCCAGATGGTGCAGACAGGACCAAGTTGTGCCCTGTCCCAGTCTCCCCTGCCAAGGCCCACCGGCAGCCGGCCTCCCACCTGCCTTCTCCCTCCGGCTTCAGTCTTGGACTGTGATCTGTCCTGGGCACATGGCTCCGCGGCTGCCCCCACCTCACATTAGGCCCTGGGTGGCTTCCTGGTTGTGTTCATATCTTTCCCTCTGTGGAGTGTTCTGGAGCCTGATGGGACCCCACCCTCCCGTTGACCAACCCCTCAACCCCCCCTGCCCCCTGCCCTTGACAGTGAACAGTATGTGTGGCCCCCAGCAGAGGGGCTGCCCTAGTGTCCCTCAGAATCTCCTTGTGATGTATCTGTGCGATGTGTACACACAGAAGAACACCTGTAGGTGGCAGCAAAAACATCAAAACCACCTAGAGAGGGTTGTAGTGAAAATGCGACCCTGACTCCAGTTCCCCTCCCAGCAGTGACCACCACCAGTTCTGTGTGTCACCAGGGAGGGGGTGTATGTCCTGATGCCCAGAACCCCTGTCCCTGGGCAACGCGTTCCCCCCAGAGCTGGCAGGGCCCTCGTCCCGTCACCTCAGCCCTGGGGGCTGGACAGCTGGAGTCTTCAGCTAGAGTGGTGGGCACCATGGCCTGACAGGTGACAAGTGATGCCATGCTGGCTCCCAGTAGGTGCTGTAGCAGGGCTGGCCCCTGGCAGCCTGGGGGGGGGGTGTCCCTGGGGGTGGCGGCCGCTCGTTCCAGGCAGTGGGGCTCTGCCAGGGCGCTGCTAGAGCCCTAAGAAGCTCTCGTGTGCCCCAGGAGGCCAAGTCTGAGCCCCACAGCAGAGAGTAGGCCAAGCTGACGGCATGCTTATCTTGACTGCAGAGGAAGTATGGTGTGGTCCTGGACGAGATCAAGCCCTCCTCGGCCCCCGAGCTCCAGGCCGTGCACATGTTCGCTGAGTACCTGGCCAATGACAGCCGGAGGTGAGGATGGGAGGGCGGGGGTGGGCTCTCTCTCCCCACCTTCTTACCTCCCCGAGCCTCAGTGAAAGCACATTGCTACCCTGCAGGGGCATTTGTGTAAACCATTCATTCTCTTGCTGCCCAGGATACTTGCCCGGGTGCTTATGGGCTCTGCCTCTGTCTCTGCAGGTGGGAGCCGTATGACCCCATCTCGCTCGTGCCGTGGGGCACCAGCATGACGTGGCGGGCTCCACGGCTCCTCTGCACCCTTTCCCCCACCCCAGGAATGGCTGGTCGTGAGGCCCCCCTGGGATTAGGAACTTTTATGTTCAAATCTGCTCCCCACAGGGTGCCTGGGATAGGGCAACAGCCTAGCCCATGACATGGAGACGCTCTGCTCTGTGGGTCTTCCTCTGCCCCCCTGCCCAGCCCCAAGAGCCCACCTTCACCCTGGAGTGTCCCTCTTAGCGGCAAGGAGCCTCACAGAACAGCCTTCCCCAATCTCTGCCTCGTGGAACTCCTTAGATCAGGACTTGATCATGACCTTATTGATACTGTGCTACTCTTGTGGGCCACAGAGGCTGTCTTTGGGTCCCAGGTGTAGGTGAGACCACCTGCTGTGACCCCTACCACTGCCCTTACGGAGGGCAGCATTATGTGCCCCGGCTCCTGATTGGGCTCCTTCTCCCTTAAAGCTTGAGGCTCAGGGGGATTTACTTGTCAGCAGTGACAGCTGAATGGGGGCCCCCAGGTTCTGATACCCAGAACCCACAAATATAACATCATTGGAAATGAGGTGTTTGCAAATGTAATTAGTTAAAGATCTGGAGATCATCCTGGATATAGGGTGGACCCTGAGGCAAGAGACTGGTGTCCTCATAAGAGACAGAAGAGGAGAAGACAGAGAAGGGTACAGAGGGGAGGCATGTGTGAAGATGCAGAATCGGGGTGACACAGATGCCAAGGGATGCCAAGGACTGTGGGCAGCCAGCTGAAGCCAGGAGAGAGGCTTGGGATGGATTCACCCTCAGAGGCCTCAGAAGGAACCTTTCCTGCTCACACTTGGATATCAGACTCCTGCTTTCTAGAGCTTCTTCTCTCTCAGAGAGTCTATTCCTCTTTGCATCTTCCCGGTCTGCGGTGCTTTGTGACGGCAGCCCCGGGACACCAAGACAGGCAGGCTCCTGAGGCTATCCTTTCTCCCTCTCCACACTTCATGAGCCAGGGTGACAAGCCCTAGTCTCCTTTCGGAAGAGGAGGGGACTCTGGGACCCTCTAGGAGCAGGGGCTGCTTTGGGGCCTGGGGCAGGGGCCCAGGAGGGCAGAAGGGTTCAGGGTACGTCCGTCCTGGCAGCCCAAACTGCTGCCCCTTAGCCAGCCCAGCAAGCAGGCTGTGGAGAAAGTCCCGGCACCTGTAGGTGAACAATGACATGTTTGAGTAACAGAGCGCATGACGCTCGCATCACGTTAACGATGGCAGGTGGCATGTCTACTCTCAGTAGGTTCCCAGGCAGGGAACATCATGGGGTGGCCACGAGGGCTCCATGCCAACTCTCTGTCACACCCTGTATGCGGTCCGGGTGTGCAGAGTGGGAAATAGTCTCAGATGTGAAGTCATTTGTCCATCAGGCACCTTGGTGGTCACGAAGACAGTGACAGGAGTGTCCCCATCCTCCAGGGCCTTAGATGTAGATCCTGACCAGCAGCCCACGTGCCATGCACGTGTTTGTGGAGAACCCGTGGACCCTGAACAGCAGCTTTTGTCTGGTGGCGACTCAGGGCCTGGCCCTTCCCTTCTCCTGTCAACTGCTCAGCAGCCTTTTGGAACAACAGGTTTTGGCTCTGTTTTCTAGTTAAGCAGATCATGGTTCAGATGTTCTATGGCCTGTGGGGGAACTGGCTGATCCTTGGCGGAGCCCTGACTCCAGCCTGGCCCCCAGCACAGCATGTGGCCTACCTGCCAGGAGCAGCCGGCCTCCTTGGGGAGGCAGCGATGTCATCAGGGTGAGATTCATCTGTGTGGCTTCCTGTCTCCAGAGAGGCATCCCCGGCGAGTTGGCCCGGCCCTCCACGTCCGGGGTGGTGTGGATACTACAGCCCCCTGGATCTGTAGGCCTAGGCAGTCATCTGCGCTGCTCTGTGGACATGGCCCCGCCTGCACCACATCTCCTCACGAGGCCTCAGTTTCTTTGCATAATGGTGGGAAGTGCCAGGTGGGAAGGCGGTGAAGCTGGCACCCAGTGGGGCTCGACGGAGACAGCTGGGCCCATTCCGCCTGCAGCTGCTGTGTTCCCCTGGGCGCCTGACCCACTCTCTCTGGACCTGTCTGCTCCCATGGGGGCGAGGCTGCTTCCCACCCCTGGCTGCAGGCCCTCAGCAGCCTTGTCTTGCAGGGACTCGATTGTGGCCGAGCTGGACCGGGAGATGAGCAGGAGCGTGGACGTGACCAACACCACCTTCCTGCTGATGGCTGCCTCCATCTACTTCCACGACCAGAACCCAGATGCAGCCCTGCGTGCCCTGCACCAGGGGGACAGCCTGGAGTGGTGAGTGTCCTCCCTGTTCCAGGGAGAAGGCCTCCAGGCTGGTCTCCAGGCTGCTCAGTGCTTCATTGGCCGTTGTCATGGGAACAGTGGGGGGCTGCTGGCAGAGACCAGTGGGGCCCAGGCTTCCCATTCAGGCTGCAGCTCCCATCCTCGGTCCTTTCTGCACGGCTGGGCTGCTGTTCCCAAGGACACGGCTCCCAGGGCTGGAAACCCTCCGTTCCCGGTGGCAGAGGAGAAAGCACCTTTGTTTCTGCCTGTGGTTTCTGTACCCCCACCCCCACCACAGAGCCTTGTGTCCCTGGGCCCGGGCCTTTCCGTGTCCTCCCCGCGTTCCCCCAGGCCCTCCCGTTCACGGCACTCCGGGGCCTGCGGCGTGCCAGAGGCTCTAGCCCCCACCCCAGGAGGTGACTCCGGCCAGCGCTGCATCTACAGCGCCGTGTCCCGGAGGGTGCGACAGCCCACCCCTGTGAACTCTCTGGGGCCTGCTGTCCCTTGGTTGGTTGGTTACAGGTTCATTTTTGTTTCTTGTTTCTGTCCCCGCTCTATCCAGAAAGGGATTTGTGGCGGTTTAGAAATAGGTCTGGCACACAGCTTACAAAGCAGCAGACTCTGTAACTATTTCTCAGACTCCTACACATGTTGATCTGGGCGGGAAAGTGTGGGAACAAGTGACTACATACGTCATTGGTGGTCATAGCTGTCAGGCAGAGAGGGAAGCCACGGGTGCGGGAACCAGAGGGGGTGAGCACCTGCCCCACGCAGCACCTCTGTGACTGGACCCACAGCCTTCCCTGGGGCTGACCCTGGGCGTGGCTGCTCAGCTTGCTCCCTGGGCTCCTGCCACTGGGCAGTGGCCAGTGTCCCCCTCACACCAGGAGTGGGGCGCAGAAAGGATGCCCAGCCTCAGGGTAGTCAGAGTGGGACGATTTGGGACCTCATGAAAGCTCCAGCCCCACGTGTGCTCAGTGGTGAAAGGGGGGAGCCAGGGCCCTGGGAAGCAGTGGGAGGCTTGGCCCGGCGCATAGTGCCTGGGTCTGAGTCCAGTGTGGCTCAGCATTGCCCTACGCAAGGCAGGGCTGGTGGCCTAAGCACTCCTAGGAATGTTCCTGGAGGTGGCGCCCACACGGGGGAGCCCCGATAGGCAGCAGAGTGGCGAGGGTGCCGGCTGACTGCCTCTCTGTCCTGCAGCATGGCCATGACCGTGCAGATCCTGCTGAAGCTGGACCGTCTAGACCTCGCCCGGTACGTCTCTCCCATGCGACCCTCCCTGCAGGGTGTTGCCTGGGACGAGGGATGGTGCCGTCCTTGCCTCAGTTTCCTTCTGTGACGAGGGTGGGACCTGCAGAGTTGGGGTGAGCTTCCCAAGTGTGCAGTGAGAGCGGCCGGGTCGGGGCTCCTGGCACACTCGAGCCGGCGCCAATGTGTGCCCTGTGAGCAGGAATGCGGGGGGCTCCCTCCTACCCTTCTGTTCTGTCCCCAGGAAGGAGCTGAAGAAAATGCAGGACCAGGACGAGGATGCTACCCTCACCCAGCTGGCCACCGCATGGGTCAATCTGGCTGTGGTGAGCCCCTGGGCCGTGCTGGGGGAACGAGGGAGCATCAGAGAGCTGGGAGGTGGGAGGTGCCCCCTGCATCCAGTGCTGGCCGCTCCTGTGGGGAGGGTGCTGGTGCAGGCTGCTGTGGACACATTGGACCTGCTCCTTCCTTTGGGGCCAGGGCCCGTCCCCCAGGGGAGCCCCCAGCCCATTGCGCCCTGGCACATTTTGCACCTTGCTCAGCCCCAGCCCCATTCTTGGCTCCTCACAGCTGAGCAGCTTGGCCAGAGCCAGAGTGAATGAGCTTGGGGTGCTCTGGAACCAGACTTGATGGAGCGAGTGGGCCTGCCTGGCAGTGCAGCCTCCCGGGGCTCACCCTGGGCTTGGCTCCTACTCAGCTTGCTCCCTGGGCTCCTGGCACTGGGCAGTGGACAGTGTCCCCCCACACACACACCTTCCCCTGTGCCCAGCCCCTATCTCCCCCCATGCCTGGGCACCTGCTCCCCCTTTCTTGGCAATGGCCCCTCTTCTGGCCTTTGGCACTGGGCTTCCTCTCTCTAAGTCGTTTTTTTTGTTTTGTTTTGTTTTTGTATGGGCTGCTTAAAATGTGTTCCCCGTCCGCATGCGCCTGCACCGGCCTTGGGGGCACTGAGCCCCACCCAAGCTGGCTTCCAGTATCTAGTTTAGCGGGGTGAACCCTGCCCGCTCTTCGCCAGCTCTGCGTTTTTTCACACACGTCTTGGCCTCAGGCTCCCCTCTAAGAGTGGTGCTGCGTCTTTAGCAGGCAGGCAGAACCTTTCATTCTTCTGAACGAAGGATGCCGGTGACAGGGCTCCAGGGACCGCCTGCCTCGCGCTGGCCACGCCGACATCGCCTCAGCGAAGTGCCGGCGTGCTGGCGTCCTCCTGCTCTGTGAGGGAGCGGGAGGTGGTAGGGCTGGGAAGCGGGCTGACAAACCGGTGATGTTGGAACTGTCCCTGCAGGGTGGCGAGAAGCTGCAGGACGCCTACTACATCTTTCAGGAAATGGCTGACAAGTGCTCATCCACCCTGCTGCTGCTCAACGGGCAGGCGGCCTGCCACATGGCCCAGGGCCGATGGGAGGCCGCCGAAGGCGTGCTCCAGGAGGCGCTGGACAAGGTACGGCAGGCCCAGCCTGCACCGAGGCTCCCGGTGGGGGCGGCAGGGGACGCGGGGCTTGCTGCAGAGGCAGCCCCATGGGCCTGGCATGTGACCACGTGGGAATTTATTTTAACACCAAATCAGCTAGGAATCAGATTGCAAATAGAAATGTTGATCGTGGCTTCTCTTAGAAATGGGAGGATCCCATCGGCCTGGGCTTCAGCTGGCCTGAGCTGAGCAAAAAGTCTCGCTATCACCTTGGCTGCTGGACCTGGGGGCCTCTTGATGTGACTCCTCACTTGAGCCAGTACTTGGAAGAGATGCCTGCCGTTCATTACCAAGGGGAGAGCGAGATGCAGACGGGAGACGTTGCCTGTCTGGGTCTAGAAGAGGGACTGAGAGTGGGGCCCTGGCAGGGCAGCCCCCGCTGTCTTCCCCCAACCAACATGTGAGGTCTTGTGTGTTACTTTTATAATCAGAGGAAATGTCAAAGTTTTTTTTGTTTTCTGAAAACATTTCGTCATCTAACAAGAAACAGACACCGGTGGGAAGCTTTCTCCCCTTTACCTGTGTGAGGCGTCGAGTTACCATCAGGAAGTTGTTTGCAGATCAGGGACGGGCCAGGGGTCATCAGTCAGGTGCTCCTTGGGCTGCACGCGTGGAGGTGCCTTGCCCTGCCAAGGCGCCCTTTGTCCATGCCGGCCACCGTGCCTTCCTGACAGGCTCTGACCTTAGCTGGACTGTTGGGTGCAGTCAGGGCTCGTCAGGAATGCCTGGCCTGGTGGGGCGTCTCTGCCCCAGAAGGAGAGGGCAATGGGGTCCCCAGTTAAATGACACCCATCTGTCCTCATTCTCTGCGACCCCGTCTGGGCTGGCTTACTGCCCCGTGGCCCTGACCCCTCGATGGCCCGAGGCATGCCATGGCCTCAGTTGTCGTCCTGGTCCTGTGGGCCACCCCATGCTTTCCCACTGTCCTTCCCATTCCTTTGGCGTTCCCCTCGTTTTGCTTCTGTGAACACGTGCCATTGTCCCCCATGACAACTGTTGAGGAAACTAAAGTGGGGAGGCGTTGAGTCTCCCCAAAGAAGAGCAGCCATGGAGTGGAGCCGGGTCTGTGCAGAGGCCCCTCGAACCTACAACACCTTGTGTCCGGGTTGCTGTGTCTCTGCTTCGAGTGCCCAGTCGGCTCCCTGCAGTGGTCTGACCTTCCTGGCCGAGGTCATCCGGGGCCAGTTCCCAGGGTTCCCTGTGCCTCAGAGCCCCGTGTGGGTGGGTGGGGTGAGGTCACCTGCTTGGATGTTCTGGTAATTTCCCTGCAGCTTCTTGCCAAGGGCCCTGGTGAGCAGGAGGGGCAGGCGCGGTCTGCCCCGTGGTCTCAGACCTCATTTTTGCAGTGAGAGGGACAGCTTGCTTGTGATGGTGTTCAGGCTGCCTTGGGCTGGGCTCTGTTCCTTTGCGACTGGTGTGATAAATAACCCCTCCCAAACTGCGACCGGCAGGGCGGTCTGTCTCATCCTGGGCAACAGATGAGACAACAGGCTCAGAGGGGAAGAAGCCGGGAGGGCAGGGGAGAGGCAAGGAGAGGCAGGGAGGCCAGGAAGGTGGAGTGGGGCTGGGGCCCCCCTTGCCACCGCACTGCCTCCCAGGCAGAAAGGAGGGCCCCGAGGTCACCGCCTTGCAGAGTGGCCAGTGGGTGCGCTTTGGGTCTCCCAGCCCCACCCCCTGCCCCACCTCTGAGGGTGTGACCTTGTGTGGGTCATGTCTTCACCCTGGGTCAGTGGGAGCACCTGAGATGGGAGTGGGCAGGCCAAGTCGGGGGCCTGGGGAGCTGACCCTGATCGCTTATGCCCCTGTGTTTCCAGGACAGTGGCCACCCAGAGACACTGATCAACCTTATCGTCCTGTCACAGCACCTGGGCAAGCCCCCTGAGGTAGGACCCCCGGGCACAGGGAGGTTTTCTGCTCTCCACGGCGCCAGCCTAAGGTGGGCAGGGGTCTGTGGTGTGGCCCCAGCTCTGAAGGTCAGGGTCTCCGGCAGAAAGCCACTTCTTTGGAGGGGGTGCGGTTGCCATCAGCGCGAGGGGCCCTGGGAAGGGGGTGTTGCGGGTGCGGAGGCTGTAGGCCAGCTGCTCCCGTGGGCCCTGGGAACTTGTGGGCTGTGTCTCAGAGCGTGCCCAGGCCAGGGCCAGCTGAGCCGGGACCCCCACCTGTGCCGCCTCCGGGTGGACGGTGGGCGAAAGAACAGAGAAGAGGGGTCCATGTTGTCTGAGGGGGAGGGAGGGAGAACTCTGGGGCCCCGCTGTTTAGGTGGCTGACTGGCCCAGTTGGCTGGGGACCCACCCCCAGGCTTCCTGGCAGTCCGTCACCCATGCCTTATAGAAGGGCCCCCGGGCAGCCTCGGGGCTAGCATAGTATAGCAGACAGGACCACTCTCCCACTCACCCCACAAACAGCACTGAACCCCTAGTCTCAGGGAGACAGCTGCCCCCGCCCCATGTGGTGGGGGCGGGCCTGGGGAGGTGGGGCGAGGGTGGCAGCAAGGGCTCTGTCCGGGGTTCAGGTTCTAATACCAAGACCTCGGGTTTCTCCGTACAGTGTGCCCAGAACAAACCCACCTCTCCTCCCAGCCCTGTTCCCCCCGACCTGCCCTCCGCTCCTCCTGGCCCTCCGCCCTCTTCTAGGGCCTGGGTCCCTCCCACCCCACTCGCCTGAACCCTGTGGTGCCTCCTTCCACTGTGTGCGGAGTGTAGGCTCTGTGTCAGCTGCCCCCCCTCTTCCCACCCCAGCCCTGAGGGTCCTGTCATCTGCCAGATTCCAGGGTAGGCTGATGGAGGTGACGGAAGACGGGGGCTCTTGCTTGGGGTCAGCTGGGCAGCCCCCACCCCACCCTAGCCCTCCCCTCACCCTGTATGTGAGAGGCCCCTGGGGGCCCCTGTTCAGCTCACCTGGCCTCCTCTCTGCTGCAGGTGACAAACCGCTACCTGTCCCAGCTGAAGGACGCACACCGTTGCCACCCTTTCATCAAGGAGTACCAGGCCAAGGTGAGCCCGAGCCGTCGGTCTGTCCCAGGTCCCCAGACCCCCGGGCGGGGCCGGGGAAGGCCAGTGACAGGGGTCCTGACTCATGTTCTCTTTGTTTCTCCTCCCACCCCCCCACCCCCCACCCCTGCCATCCGCACTCTGCGTTTAAGGAGAACGACTTTGACCGGCTGGTGCTGCAGTACGCTCCCAGCGCGTGAGGCCCGCCCCAACCGTGGTTCCTGAGCCATGGGACAGCGACCCATGCCGCCCTCAGGGCGCCCATCGTCATGCGCGCTCTCCCTTGTTCTGGCCAGAGGCGGAGGCTGGAAGCCCAGCCCAGCCCCGCTCTTGTCAATAAATGTCTCCACCATGGGAAGCCCCACCTGATCCATGTCTGCTCTGGCCACTTGCGGAGGGACATGTGGGAACCAAGGCTTAGAAGGGAGGGTCCTGGGCACCGTCCCCCAGGACCTTTGCTGGGAGGGGAGCCCTGGAGACCAGGGCCTGTAAGCAGCAGCTGCACCGAGTGCCCACCCCTCAGACAGCCACTCCATGATGCTGAGCTCCGAGTGGCACAGGCGTGTCTCCCAAGCTCCCTTGGCATCCAGGGAGACTGAGGTACAGAGTGGGGATCGCCATCACCCGGGGCATTAGGACTCCGAGCCAGTATCCCAGGGTGGTCTGTAGGTGGCAAGGGAGGTAGGAAGCACTCAGGCCTCAGTTCAGTCATATGGGGAGGGTGTGTGCAAGGAGCAAATGCACGCCCGCCCCGCCCGACCTGTCCCCTGCTCCTCACTGCTGCCCTGTGGGCAGTCCTCCGCCAAGACTGAGACCGGCTACTGTGGGGGCCGTGGGCGCGGGAGGGCCACAGTGGCTGAGGCGCTGAACTCTCTACCTGGAGAAACCCATGGCGAGAACCCTTCCATAAGAGAAAGCCAGGGCACCAGCTGGCCCCTCTTGTCCAGAGAGGGTGGTAAGCGAGCAGGGGAGAGTTGTTGGCTGGGCCTCTCAGATGAGGTCACCACCCAAACAATTAGAAGGATCTGCCAGGCCAAGTTCTGGGGGGACCAGCATTCATTCAAGGCAGCATGAACAGCCCCTGCAAAGCCGCTGCGGCTGCACTGGGCTCCGTGAGCTGGACAGGGCTTTGTGCCCTTTGTCCCGAGGTCAGTGTCTGGGCCTCTCCCAGGAAGGAGGGAGGACCTGTGTTGCCGGAGTCTGGCCTCATCTGCCTCAGAGGTGGCTGCCTGAAACCTGGTGCTTGGTCGCCAGGACAGGACGGAGAGCTCAGAAATCCCAGGGGCAGGGCCCAGCCCTAACCCCTCCCTGCCTGGTGAGGAGCTCAGCAGGGGAGAGAGGTGACAAAGGCATCCGGCAGGGGTGGGGATGGGGGGGCCTGGGGATGAGCTCCCGGGGGGTAGAGGAGGCCTGCCGTCAGGTGGAACAGGGAAGGGGCGCCAGCCTTGGGACCTTAGCAGCCGCTTGTCAGGTCCCAGCTGCCAGCACCAGGAGCCACCTTCCCTTTTGCCCTGCATCCACCCGTTGGTGGCCTCCCAGCTGGCCCCGCCAAGATGAAACTCAAGGCAGCTGGGGCTGGGCTGGTGGGCGGGGGTGCCTCTCCCATTACTGATGGCTGCCATGGTGACCAGATAGTGACAGATCGCGCTGGGTGGGAGGGCGGAGGTGGGGGAGTTGGAAGGTCCAGGGCTGCACCGCAGGCCCAGCCAGACCTCTGGGGGCACGGCTAGCTAGCTGAGGATCGCCGAGGCCCCTCTGCCTGCTAGGCAAGCTGCAGCATTAGTCAGTTCTCTGGCCTCGGGCTGAGCCTTAATACGTGACCAGGCCAGGCAGGCCTCATACCCCCAACGTGCTGAGCCTGTCTTCCTGGTCTGATGGGCCGGGTGGACCCTGGCCCACACAGAGTGCATGTTCAAGAATAATGAGTAGGAGATACAGTGAGCAGATGGTGACAACTGCCAAGAAGACTGATGGGAAAGTCAGGGGTGTGCTGAGCAGGTGACACTTGTAGGTAAAGTCTGAAGGAAGTGAGGGAAGGTCCCTGCTAGCACCTGGGGGAACAGCATTCTAGGCCGAGGGAACAGCCAGTGCCAAGGCCCTGAGGCAGGACTGTGCCAGGGGTGCTAGAGGAACAGTGAGGTGGCCAGTGTGGCATATGGGGAGCAAGGTGGAGAGGAGAGCATGACGGTAGGATGTGAGTCACGGTGAGGAGCTGGCCTTTTACTCTGCATGATGGGAGCCATGGGGGCTGTGAACAGAGACCAGCAAGCAGACTCCCTCTGGCCTCTGTCCGGGGTCAGGAGGAAGCCAGGATACCAGGCAAGAGGCATTAGGGGGGCCCAGGGCCACAGGAGGCTGTGCAGGTGCAGAGAAGTGGCTGAATTCGTGAACATTCAGAGGTAGGGCCAACTGAGTGTGTTGCTAGACCGGATGAAGGTTGAGAGGAAGGAGGAGAGATGTTGCCTCCTCAGTCCTCCTGCCTGTTTTCCCCCATGCACCTGAGGGTCAGGTCAAGCCTCCTGTGGGGCCCACACTGATTTTCACTCTGCATCTTAAAAGCTTTGGGATGACGTCCTTGGTGGGAGGGAAGGAGGAACACAGGAATGTGGGAGTCCTGGGGGGGCTGTCAGTGTCAGGGAAGGTGATATTCCCAATAGGTGACTGGTGTCCTTGGTCATGGCCAGTGGGGGCTTCAGACACAGGGCCTGGTCACTGGATAGTAGAGTATCACCAGGGGTGGTCCCAATGGAGCCAGCGGTCTCGATCCAGTCTCTGAGTCCCAGCAGGTGGGTGTCCACTCCCTCTGCCTCTCCGCAGGCAGGCCCGTGTTAACCTGCTGCGGGGGAGGGAGGCCTGCCAGGTCCTCAGGGTCACGGATAGCAGCAGGTGGCCCTGAGGGCAGGGAAAGAGTTACCGCTGAAGGGCACTGCCTGTTGGTGCTCACCGTGCCGCACATCGCAGACACCGAGTGGTGGGGTGGGGGAGCCGAGTGGGCAGGGGCACTACGGAGCGGGGGCAGGGGGTGCGGACACGGGGTCCAGGCCGTGCAGGCGCCTGGCAGACACCCTCCCCGCGTTGCTCCCCGCCTCGGTTTCCTCCACTGGAAAATGAGCTGGAGCGCGGGCCCGGCTCCAGCACGCGTCGCGACAACTCCGGGTCTTATCTGCCCGTGGTCGCCGCTGCTGCCTCCGGGAGACCGAGCACCCGCGCTCCCTCAGGGTCTCGGACGTCGCGACCAGGCCCCAAGTCCCCGCCGCCCGCGCCCCCGCCGGGGCGGAGCTTACGCCGGCCCCGCCCCCCGGTCCACAGCTCCGGCCGGCGCGCCCCCGGCCCAGCCGCGGCGCGTGACGCGGGGCGCGCGGCTCCGGCGGCTACCGCGGGCGGGCGCAAAGCGGCGGCGGCGGCCGGCGAGCGGGCGGCATGGCGGCGGCGGGGACGGCGGCGGGGCCGGCGGGGCCGGCGGGGCCCGAGCCCATGCCGAGCTACGCGCAGCTGGTGCAGCGCAGCTGGGGCAGCGCGCTGGCGGCGGCGCGGGGCTGCGCGGACTGCGGCTGGGGGCTGGCGCGCCGCGGCCTGGCCGAGCACGCGCACCTGGCGCCGCCCGAGCTGCTGCTGCTGGCGCTCGGCGCGCTCGGCTGGACGGCGCTGCGCTCCGCGGCCACCGCGCGCCTCTTTCGGGTCAGTGCCGCCGGGGGCCGGGACGTGGGGCCGCGGGCTGGGGGGGCGGGGGACGGGCTGTTATGGGGGGGCGCGGGACCCCGGGCCCTCGCGTACCCCTTTTTGCCTCTACGGGCCGGGTGACTGGAACGTGGGGGGCCTCGGGCTGGAGGAGCTCGTCCCTTTCGGGCTGAGAGGGGTGGGGGTGGGGCGGATGCGGGGGTGTGGCCGAGCCGGAGCAAGCCCGGGATGTGGGGACCCCCACACGAACACGGGGTGTTCGAGATGCGGGGGGAACCGGGGCCGACTTATGCCGGTGGGTGCGGGACGAGGGGGCCCCGGCCGGTGGGAGGGCCCGGGCCGCCTCGCGCCCTTTCGGGCAGGGCCGAATCGGGGACGGAGGAGCGGAGGATGCGGGCGGGGTGGGCTCGGGACACAGAAGCCGCCTGCGCCTTGAGCCTCGGGGCCGTGCGGGGCGCTCCCGGAACCGGAGCGGGGCCCGAGGTCCACGCGGCGGCGGAGCGGACTTGTCCGCTGCTCTCGGGAAGGAGGCAGGAGCTACCCGGTCGCTACCTCCCGCATGTCTGGAATCAGCGCCACCCTCCGACCTGGGGAAGCAAAGGCCTGGACTCCCCGGCCACGCCGGTGGTCGCAGTTTTGAGAGGTGGCACGGCCTGGGTCTTCAGAGCTGGACTGGGCTGCCTCCAAGGGGCTGCGTCCGAATTACCCGGTTTCTAGCGAGTCTGGGGAGGCTACCGCCGCAGGTGGAGAGTGACCCTGTGGGTGACATTGGCGCCTGGCCTCCCTCTCATCCTTAGGGAGGGGTCGCTGCTATGGGAACTGGTGGGAAGGCATTCGGGCCCCTAGCTTGGCTGCGACTCCCCCATGGACTGACTGGGTTCACCCCGCCCCAGTCTGGCTGGAGGTGGCAGGGGCTGCAGGGACAGAGAGCCCGGCGCCAACAAAGGGGCCTTTCTCTGCTGGCTGGGAAGAGGCTGGCCCTTGTTAAGGATAGGGTGTTGTTTGGAGACTACTGTCCCCACCACCATCCCCTATCACCCACATGGGGAAGAGCCCCCTGCCACCACCCTTCTCCAGGCAGGGGGGAGGCAGGCATCAGGGCCCCTCCACGGGTCAGCCTTGGTCCCCATCTGGCTTTGTTGGTCCCTCTGCTCTCCCAGTTTCCAGCTGGGAAGTGGGAGGTCCAGGAGGTTGAGGGTCAGAGCCCAGGAGGGGGATGTGGTGGCTCTGGGACAACCAGAGTGGAGCGGGCGCCCTCCCTGAGGAGGAGGCTTGGCAGTGAGGGAGCCTGGTGGGGGACAGCAAGAGCATGAGCACCCTCCCTTTTGGAATCCTGGGAGCTCTGGCCAGTGCGGCCCGTCCGGGTGGGGCAAGACCAATTCGAGGCTCGCCCTTCCCAAGAAACGGGTGGAGGGGCTGCCGTTTCCTCCAAAGCTCATCTTCTTGGCAGCCGCCTGGTTGCCAGGGGTGACTGGAACTGGCTCTGGCTGTCTCCATGGCAACTGCTGGTGCTCCGGCCCCCACAAGCCTCTCCTCGCGGGGAAGGGGGCGGGCTTGACCCAGCAGCTCTGGAGCCCCGCCCCCAGGGAGCTGGAGGCGGGGGCTCCTGGACTCCGGGGGAGCTGCACCCCTCAAATTCCTCCATACTTCACGGTTATGTGACCTCTCTTTCTTCCAGTCCTCCCGGGTGTGTCCTTAGGTGGCTCAGTTCATGTCCCCAATCTCATTGTACATCCTTCCCCTGCCCTGCCCCCTCTTTCTCTGCCCCATTCTCTCCTCTGTCCCCCTACATTCTCATGCTGTCCCTCACGTACCCACCCCATCTTCCCCAACCTCTTTTTCTCTCTAGCCTACCCCCAAATTCTCTGAGGTACACCTTCCCCTCAGGTTTCTCCCCCGTGGGGATCACTTGGGGCTCCAGCCTCCCCATGTTCTCCCAGATGCCCCCATACTCACCTCCATGCTCTCTCCACAGCTTTGCCCCTACAGGCCCCTCCATATCTTATCTTTAATCTCCCCTCCTCCCTGGTATAGCCCCAGCTCCCTCTGGGAACCCCAAGTCCCCCAGCTCCCCTGGGCTGGCCCCATTGGTCTCCCTTGCACTGTACTCACATGTCCCCTTCCTCTCCGCCATGGCCTTCCCTTACGTTTCTCTCAGGCCTCCCCCCACTCCCCTCCCCACACTGCGCCGGACAGCTGGGCACTAAGTTTAGCCCTTGGCTGGCACACATGGGCTCTGGTTACACTCCAGGCGGCAGTGGGTACCGGGGCCCGGCCCTCCCCAACACTGCCCAGCCTGGAGAGCCCCTGAGCCTGGCTTTCCCCACCCTGGAGAAGTGGTCCCTGGTCCTTGGCCCCCAGCACTGATGGCCACCGCCTTCTCACCCATATAGCCCCTGGCCAAGCGGTGTCGCCTCCAGCCTAGAGATGCCGCCAAGATGCCTGAGAGCGCCTGGAAGTTTCTCTTCTATCTGGGCGCCTGGAGCTACAGCGCCTACCTGCTCTTCGGCACCGACTACCCCTTCTTTCACGACCCACCCTCTGTCTTCTACGGTAGGGGCCTTGCTGGACAGAGCAGGGTGGGGGAGGATTCTGCTCGACATGGGGGAGCTGGACACTCATCATACATCTCATGCTGGATGTCAGCTCCAAGATAGGGCCGTCCCAAGGTAGCCCCAAGACAAGGGTGCCTAAAGGGCTCTGGGGACAGGAAAGGGTCCTGTTTAGGACCTGGTGCTATTAGGGCTCAGGGAGGTGTCCTGAATGAGGTGACCCCTTGTGTGGACCCAGGTGGGCATTCCTGGTGTCTGGAACAGCATGTGCAAAGGCCCTGGGGCCTGCCTGAGCTTGGTGTGTGAGGACGAGAGGAGGGTAGGAGGAGTTTGAGTTTCATTCTAAATGGGATGGGTTTGTGGATCATAAAAAGCTGCTTCTTCTGGCTGCCATGTGGAGGCAGGAGAGTCCCGGATAAGGAAGAAAGGGCCCAGGGGGGAGGTGAGGGCCTAGTGTGGCTTGGACCAGCTTGGCGAAGAGATAAGGATGGTGAGAAACGGCTGCATCCATTGATTGGATTAGATGTGGGGGTCGTCAAGGCCTGAGCTTAGTGGGGTAGGCAGGAAGGTGACTGTAGTGTCCTTTATCGCCTGCAGGCAGGCTGTTCTAGAAAACCCAATCTGTGATGGGGGTGTCGGGATTTCTCTATTCCTGTGCTGACCACGCAGGCTGTGCGCCAGGGACACACATGGAAGTGTTTCCTGCCATGGGACGTAAACAGTTTCTGAAGCCTCCATGGCACCAACCCCGCGCTCCGATCCAAGGGCTGGGCACAGAGCTTCTGTGTTTCAGTTTCCCGGTGACGAGCACCGCGTTTGCTGGGCACCTGTCTGTCTTGGTGGGACTGCGTCGCCCACATGGCCACTCTCCCCACGTGCATTGCCCTTGTTATAAACCCCTGGAGGGCAGGTTTTAGCTGTCATTCAATTTCCCTTTGTGTGACTGAACCACCATAGATCCCTGTCAGTTTCAGGCATGGAGTTGCCTCTGGCTTTTTCTTTTAAATTATGATGTGATAACATGCTTGCAGGTGAGCTGCTGCTTTGCATGTGCACTTATTGGGCACCTACTGTGTACCAGGCACTGTGCTGACAGGGCTGTGAGTGCTCCAGAGAAAGCCCCCCGCCTTGATGTCTTGTGGTGACAATTAAGTACGAAATCTGTTAACAGCTGATAAGAAAACTCCAGGGGGGCGGGGAATGTTCTACAGAGATGGGGATGGCCCCACCAAAAGTGACCTTTGCATGGGGACCTGGAGGTGCCTGGAGCAGATAGGAAATGCAAGGGCCACCGTGGGACAGGCACACTCCTGGCAGATGCTCAGAGGCAGAGAGCAGCCCCCCCCCAGGACAGGGGGTAGCTACCGGAGGGCTGTGAGCAGCGGGGGATACTGACAGGCCCAACTGAGAAGGGGGCTGAGGGCAGGAGCCAGGACACGAGGGGGCTAGGCCCATGATGGGGCCCAGAATGGGAGAGAAATGGCCGGCTTGATAAATGTTTTGAGGGCAGAACTGATAGGATCCACTGCCAGGCCAGAGGGAGGGGTGAGCAGGGAGGGTGGGGATGACACCAGGGGCTGGGATCCGAGGTAGGGGGCAGGTTTCAGGGAGAGCAAGGAGCTGGGTTTAGGACGCCGCGGCGCTGATCCCAGAGGCCAGGGTGGAGGATGTGGTGGGGGTGACACGAAGCGTCCAGAGCAGCAGGTTGGATGTGAATGCGGAGAGCAGGCCGGGGCTCCATGGCCCCCCGAGTGCGGGGAGGTGCAGACGGAGTCTGGATGGGGGATCCCATGTGTGTCGCACTCTCCCTACCCCGCCCCAGATCCGGGGCTCGAGGGTGGAGGGGGACGCTCACGCAACAGTAAAAGTCTTGCCAGTGCGATTGGTGGAAAATTCTGTGTCCTGTTTCCACAGCGGGCTGGCTCTGTGCACCGAGGCACCTCTACATCCCTTTCCTCTCAAGGGGGGCAGAGGCGCCTGGCAGGTGTTGGGGGGGCCTCCACCGGCTGCAACATTCCCACAGAGCTCGGGGAGGGGGGCTCCTGCCAGAAGTGTGCGTTTTGCTGTCAGACTTTGAGGAGCCCCTGGACCTGATAAAGTGGTGGGAGGAGATCTAATCCATTGGGGGGGGGTGCATTTTTTTTTTTTAATTAGGTAAAATATACATGACGTAAAGTCAACCATAATTTGCCAGTGGCTGGTACTGTCCGCTGGCGTGAGGTCCCTGGAGTAGCCAGGTGCGTGGAGATGGAAGCCAGGACTCGGGGAGGGCACGGGGAGCCGGGGCTTAAGGGGCACAGAGGTTCGGGTGGGCGCCACGAGGAACGTTCTGGAGATGGCCGCGCCGCGGTGCAAACACAGTGGGGCCACAGAACGGAAAAATGGCTGAGGTGTCAGCGTTCACGTGGTACGTGTCTTACCACAGTTTTTAAATATTTACCATGTTCAGGTGGGCAGTTCCGTGGCACACGTGGCACATTCACCGTGTTGTGCCTCCATCCCCACCCCCCCCCGAAGGAGACCCCGTCCCCGCGGGCAGGCACTCCCCCCCCCCGCCCCAACCACGGATCTGCTTTCTGTCTCTATGGATTTGCCTGTTCTGGACCTTTCCTGGACGTGGAAAGGGATTATGCTCTCTGTGACCTTTTGTGTCTGGCTTCTTTCACTCAGCGCCGTGTTTTTGAGGTTCATGGACCCCATAGGAGAGCTGGTGCCTCGCCGCTTTGTACGGCTGGGTGGTAGTCCGTCGTGTGCAGGGCGCACGTTTTGCTCACCCACTCGCGCGTTGGTGGGCACTTGGGTTGCTTCCACCGTCTGGTGGCGGCCGCGGCACTCCTGTGCACTTGCGTGTGCAAGGAGCCCTGGCCTGAGCTCCCTTGAGCACCTGACTAGGAGTGGACTTGGTGGAGCACATGGGGCTCGTGTGTTCACAGCTGCTGCAACCACCGCAGGGAGGGTGGACCGTTGGGGACAGGCTCTGGAAAGCCAGGAGGAGCTGGGGCCGAGCTGAGCGGGAGACAGTGGTGCCCGGAGCAGGGTCAGAGTGGCGAGGGCAGGGGAAGTGAGCAGAGGCCTGGACAGAGAGGGGACCCCGGATGGGGGTCCACGTGGGTGGGTCCCTGTTGCGTAAGGAGTCAAGGCGCGGATGAAGAAGGGTCGCCGAGGCGAGACACTGGGCGTGGGGGTTAGGGGACAGCCAGGCTCCAGGCGGCATGAGGGTCTGGCTCCAGGTCTCTGAGGGTGGAGGCAGGAGCCCTCGGGGGGAGCCCAGGGTGGTCATTTTGGGGGTGTGAGCAGAGAGGGAGTGGCCAGGGAAGTCCAGGTCGATGCAGGCCGAGCCCTCTTGGTGACGGTCCTGAGAGAGGAAATGGGGAGAGCCAGGGGTCAGTGTCACCGGGAGAGGGTGAAGCCTGAGTGTGGGTGGGCACAGGTGCCAGCAGGAATGGGGTGGCCGCAGGAGCAGGTGGAGGGGAGCCACACCCCACTGGGTGGGACAGCCCATCTGCAACAGGATTGGCCCGTCAGCTTTCTGCCTCGGCAGTCCTGCCTGGCATGGTGAGGCGGGTGGCAGCCTCCATCCTGCAGGGGGATTTGCCGGGATGGGAGAACCTGGGACAGGGGCATCGAAGTTGCCTCCAGAGAGCCTGATAAGTAAGAGAACACAGGAAGGGGAAACCAAGCCAGAGTTGGAAATCCTGCAAGGGACAGATTTCAGGGGTGGGAGCATCTTTTTCTATAAATCTAGAACCACTCCAAAAAAAGAACACCCGTTCATAAAAAATAACAGGTAGAGAGTGGGAACAGACTACCAGGGACCAGTGTGCCTGCAGAAGGGGGTGGCACGCCTTGGCTTGTGGAGGCTGCACCCCAGCTGGAGGGGTCCTGGAGGCCCCTGACCACACAGGCCTGCTCTCCCCAGACTGGACGCCGGGCATGGCGGTGCCCCGGGACATCGCAGCCGCCTACCTGCTGCAAGGAAGCTTTTACGGCCACTCCATCTATGCCACGCTGTACATGGACGCCTGGCGCAAGGACTCGGTGGTCATGCTCATCCACCACGTGGTCACCCTGGTCCTCATCGTCTCCTCCTATGCCTTCCGGTGAGTCCGGGAGCGGGCTGGAGGGCAGCGGGCACAGCATGAGCAGAGAGGGTAGGCTGGCAGGGGCCACGGTGGGTATCCATGGGGGTGGGTTCTGGAGAGAGACTGCAGAGGGATGGGGTATATCAGGTGCAGAGAAGCCCCAGCCTGCTCATACCCCATCCGTCCCCCTCTGGCCCCTCCGACCCCGTGGCAGCCTTGGCCGGGTCACTTAGAAGTGCTTCCTGGGCCACCGGCCATGCCCGGCTGCTGCAGGGGGTGCGGCTAGGAACACAACCAACCCACCCTAGCATTCTAGAGCCCACTGCGGCCACCACACGTGGCCCCTGAGGGCCTCAGACGCAGCCCGTCCGCACCTCAACCTGCCGTACGTGTAAGGTCAAAGACAGTGGAGAGTGAGTATCTCTTGCCAATCCTTTTGTTGTATCAGTTGCATGTGAAGATGACAACATTTTGGACTTACCGAGTCAATTAGAATATAGTGTTAAAATTAATTGTATGTCTTCTTTTTTTTTTAAGATTTATTTATTTGAGAGAGCGAGAATGAGAGAGAGAGAGAGTACATGAGAGGGGGGAGGGTCAGAGGGAGAAGCAGGCTCCTCGCCGAGCAGGGAGCCCGATGCGGGACTCGATCCCGGGACTCCAGGATCATGACCTGAGCCGAAGGCAGTCGCTTAACCAACTGAGCCACCCAGGCGCCCTAATTGTACGTCTTCTTTACCTCTTGTTTAAATGTGGCTGATAGAGAATCTGAAGTAACACGCACGGTTCACCTGCTTCCCGTTGGACGGGCTGCTCCACACCTCTAGAGCTGCCGGCCGCCAGGGCCTGTGTCAGCTCGGACTGAACTGAAATAAAGCTGCATGTTCTCTTCTGCAGCCACAGTAGCCACGTGTCAGCTGCTTAGTGGTCACGTGTAGCTGCTGCCTCTCCTACTGGACAGTGCAGGTTTAGAACATTCCTATCATTCTAGAAAGTTCTATTAGGTAGCAATGTTCTAGAGTAGAATTAGGTGATAAGACCCAAACAAACAAACAGATGAGAAAAGAACTAACAGTTTGTTTGAAGGTGATAACTATGGAGAAAAATCAAGTGGGAAGATAAGGACCGTGGGGGTGGTGAGGTGTGGGTGGTTGGGTGACACGTGAGCAAAGTCTGAAAGGTGAAGGAAGGCTCCGTGAACACTGGGGAGGTGCATGTTAGGCGATGGGAACAGCATGTGCAAAGGGCCTGTGGCACGTGAACTGTCAGGAAGGCAGAGTGAGAGAGGTGCTCAGGTATGTTCAGGCTGAATTCAGGTCCAGTGGCCCAAGCAGCTGTCAGGTGGAATGCTGGGGAGGGACAGGCGGACGCCTTCAGGCTTCTTTAGAGCCTGGTGGGGACTCGGCCTTCCCTAGGCAGGTCTGCAGATTGCAGCAATGTTCAGGTTAAACGAACAGACCTAGGAGGGTCAGCGTGGCAATGATGTTGGAGGTGAGGGACAGACTTGTGGGGGATGCAAAATGGCCCAGGCCACTGAGGGTCAGGGGTCACAGAGACGAGGAGGGGCAGACAAGGAACTTCCAGGGAGGCTCCTGGGTCCCCTGGGGACAGTGAGGCAGGGAGGGTGAGGGAGTGAGTGGGGCCACCAAGGCGCAGGCACAGCTTGGGTGCTGCCCCTGACCTGGCCCGCTGAGGAAATGGGCAGGTCACGGAGGCCAGGGAGGGCAGCTTTGAAGGGGCCCACAGGAGGCTTGGGGTACAGCCTTGGTGCAGGATAAGGGTCTCCAGTGTGACCCACCCTCTCTCCTCCCCTATCCCACTCCCCTCCCCAGGTACCACAATGTGGGCATCCTCGTGCTCTTCCTGCATGACATTAGCGACGTGCAGCTGGAATTCACCAAGCTCAATGTCTACTTCAAGTCCCGCGGCGGCTCCCATCACAGGCTCCACGCTCTGGCGGCCGACCTGGGCTGCCTCAGCTTCAGCCTCAGCTGGTGAGGGGGTAGGGAAGGGGGTGGGGCTGGCGAGAAGGGGTGGAGGCATTCCGGGGAGGAGGTGGGGCTGGTGAGAAGGAGTGGGGCCAAGCTGGAGGGGGTGGGGCCTGGCGAGGTGGGCGGGACCTAGTGGGACAGGGGCGAGCCGGAGGCGGGGCAGAAGCAGGGTTGGGCGGGGATGGAGACAGACGGGCAGGGGTGGGCAAGGATGGGGCAGGGGGACCGGGATGGGTGGGGGTGTGCAGGGACAGATGGATGAGTCCAGGTGGGACAGCACAGGGCCCAGGTGGGGCAACCCTCCACCTCTCCCCGACAGCTTCCCCAAGCCCCCCTCCCCGCTGCAGGTTCTGGTTCCGCCTCTACTGGTTCCCGCTCAAGGTTCTGTACGCCACGTGCCACAGCAGCCTGCGCTCCGTGCCTGACATCCCCTTCTACTTCTTCTTCAACGCTCTCCTTCTGTTGCTCACCCTCATGAACCTCTACTGGTTCCTGGTGAGTCAGCAGCCCACCGCTCCTTGCCCACCCAGTGGTTGGTCCCCAAGCAGTGGTCCAGGCACAGGCCCTTCTCAGGCATGCCCAGGGAGGGGGCATATTCGGCCCTGGGTACAGTACGTGCAAAGGTCCGGTGGCAGGAGCACACAGCCATCGGGAGGGCAGCAGGGTCAGGGAAGTGGCTTTTTCTCACTTGTGCGCCCCCCTCCCCCCACAGTACATCGTGGCTTTTGCTGCCAAGGTGCTGACAGGCCAGGTACACGAACTGAAGGACGTGCGGGAATACGACGCAGCAGAGGCCCAGAGCCCCAAGCCCAGCAAAGCTGAGTGAGTGTGGAGGGGCCGCCGCCCCGGTTCATTCCTTTAGCCACATCTGTCTGGTGCGCACACTCTGGGGGCCGGCTCTGGAGACAAGGCAGCGGATGAGGCTGCCATGGACACTGCCCCCGCCCCCAGAGCCTCTGTCCCAGAGAGAGTGCAATAAAGGCGTGGAAGCTTAGCGACAGAGTTAGATGCGTCAGGCCAGACAGGAAGTGGGTGGAGCAGCCTGGGGGTGGGGCAGGTTGGCGAGGGTGGAGAATCTGGGTCTCGATGGTAGGAGTTGGTGGTAGGAGCTAGGAGCATGAGGGCCAAGCTGAGTCGCTGGCCCAGTGGGTGAGCAGCCATGATCCAGGTCAGAGGGGAGCCTCTAAGCAGGTGGCAGTGGAGGTGGGGAGGACGGGGAGCCGTGATGGCCCAGAGAGCCCACACTAGGTCCGTGTTGACGCTCCCTGGCCTTGAGGCCCAGCAGGGCAGCCCACAGGGCAGTCAAGCAGGAGAGGGGGCTGGGGGCTCAGACCCAGTCTGGCCCAGGCGGGAGTCCTAGGGAAGGAGGGGAAAAGGGGCCTCATCAAGCACCACGGAGGTAGGACCCCTGGGATTCGCCAGCCCCAGGTTATAAGCCAGACGATGTCCAATGCTCCCAGCCTGGAGGGGCCCCAGGAGTGAATGGAGGCAGTTTTGGGTGATCAACAGAGTCTAGGGTGTACAACACCCCAAGATGGGGGGCTGCTGTCGGCTTGCAAGGTACCAAGTCAGTGGGCCCTGTGATTTGGCTTCTGGGGGGCTCATCAGTGACCGACCTGAGAAAGGGGGTTTCAGGGAAGCAGTGTGCTCAGAGCTCGATGAGATGGGTCAGAATGGGCTGTGAGGAGGATGAGAGAAGGAGAGATTTTAAAAATCTCCTTGGAATACGTAAGAAGGGGAGCAGAGAACCGGCGGGTTCCAGAGTGGAGAGCTGAGGGCTCTCTGGCCAGTTCACATAAATAAAAGCACTTTGCAACCCGCAAGCGTGGCACTACTGTTGGGGGGGTGCTAAGGCCAAAATGCCAGTGCCCAGGCCAGAGAGGGACCAGACAGGCGAGCAGGGATCACGGACATGAGAGGACTGGACAGCAGGTGAGGTCTCCGCAGCTGGATGGTGTGGGGGCCTAATCACCACGCGGCCGTCCCTGTCATCGGGACGGGTGGGCACAGGGGCCGTCGCCAGGACGAGTGTGGTCAGATCCCAGCTCTGCTATAGAACCTACCAGACTTGTTTTAGGTGAACCAGAAATAAAAAAAGCAAAGACAATCCAAGACTTCCGTCTCGAGCTGCCATTTACCGAGATGGAAGTTGGGGCTGAGTTGGGGTAGGGCTGTGTGCACCGGCCAAGGGGGGTGGGCAGGAATCAGGCATCTAGTTTGGGGGCTGTTTGATCGTCCGATGTCCAGGGAACATGAGTTAGGAATTCCACGAAGACATCAATGAGGTATCCCCAAGGAGTCTGACCAACCCTCAGAGAAAACCTCAGAAAAAGCAACAGCTAAAGCAGCAGGTGCGAGAGGGGAGCACCTACTTGGCCAAAACGAAAAACTGGAAAGATCTTCCTGCTGTAGACTGGGGAGCTCCTGGTGGAGATGTCCAGACCACCTAGCCCCACTCGGTGCGGCTCCCTAGCCTGTCTGCCCTGAGAACACCCGGCCAGAACATGGGGTGGGGGGCGGGGGGCTGGCACGTGGCCGGCATGTCCAGTAGGATGAGAGCGTGAACTCCGCACAGAAAGGACAGGGCAGACCAGGGAACGCACTGCCAGGATCCACCCCCCGGGTGTCACCCGCAGAGCTCAGTTCCCCAAGGCTGGCCACAGTTAGCGCAGTCGGATGTAACATGGATAAGAAGCAAGGAGAATGTGGAACATGCTGCCGAAGAGTGGTCAGGGCGCCTCCAAACCCTCAGGTCGTGGAAAACAAGGCAGCTGAGGCGCTGTCTCCTGTCAGAGGCAATGAAGGCATGTTGCCTGAACGCAGTGTGGGCTGGTGGGCCAGAAAAAGGACATTCGCGGAAAAACTCGGGAAATCAAATAAGGTCTGCGTTTCGTTCGTAGCACTGTCCCGGCCTTGGTGTCCTCGTTGTGACAAATACACGGTGGAGGTGTGAGATGGTAACATGCAGGGAAGCCGGGCGAGGGGTACCCCACAGCTCCCTGTCCTGCCTTCACAGCATCTCCACAAACCGACGATTACCCTAAAATAAAAATCTTATTTAAAAAAAAAAACATGAAAGATCGTCAAAAATGACATTGGATGTCATAGTGTGTTGCCAGTTTTGTAGGAACAAAGTACCGTGAGTTGGGGGGCCTTAGAACAGAAATTTGTCTCTCACAGCCCTGAAGACCAGGAGTCTAACATTGTCGGCAGGGCCATGCGTGCCCCCTCCGAAGTCTCTAGCAGAGGACCCTTCCTTGTCTCTTCCAGCTTCCGGGGACTCCACGGGTCCCTTAGCTTGTGGCCGTGTCACTCCAGTGCCCATTCTCTGTCTTCATATGACCTTCTGCTCTCCAGCTCTTCTCTCTTCTGAGGACACTTGTCTTCAGACTGAGGATCCATCCTAAATCCAGTCTGATCTCCGCCCAGATTCCTTCACCTAATCACATCTGCAGAGAGCTTTTTTCCCCTAATAAAGTCACATTCCCAGGTTCCAGAGATTAGGATGTGGGGACTGCCCATCAGCCCCCTGTGGATGTTAAGGCCCATAGAATTAGATGCTGCTGGAGAGAGAATCAGAAAGTTAAAAGCTGGGGGTGCCTGGGTGGCTCAGTTGGTTAAGCGACTGCCTTCGGCTCAGGTCATGATCCTGGAGTCCCTGGATCGAGTCCCGCATCGGGCTCCCTGCTCGGCGGGGAGTCTGCTTCTCCCTCTGACCCTCTTCCCTCTCGTGCTGTCTCTCATTCTCTCTCTCAAATAAATAAATAAAATCTTAAAAAAAAAAAAAAGTTAAAAGCTGCGAAGAAGTGACCAAGGTTACAGCAACCGCAGCTAGAAACGATGACAGCTAGAATTCTAAGCATGACCTGGCCTCGCTGAGTTCTGATAGGAGACAGACACAACATGAGAAGACACAGTGCTGAGAATTTTCCAGACGTAACGGTGTAAATCAGAAAGAGGATGAATAAAAAGACATCCATGGCCCCAAACACGTCGTAGCGAGAAATGCAAAACAGCCACAGGAAAGATGGCCTATGCAACAAGGACACAGCCGCAAGGGACGCAGGACGAGTGTGGAGGGGACTGTCCTGTCCAGTGCCGAAAAGAAGGAAGCAGCAACTGGGAATTTCTTACACAATTCTGAAAACATTTGCCTGAGGGAACCTGACCGGCTTCGTCGGTAGAGCACGCGACTCTTGATCTCCTGGTCCTGTGTTCGAGCCCCACGTTGGGTGTAGAGTTGACTTAAAAAAGTAAAATCTTTAGGGGCGCCTGGGTGGCTCAGTCGTTAAGCGTCTGCCTTCGGCTCAGGTCGTGGTCCCAGGGTCCTGGGATCGAGCCCCTCATCGGGCTCCCTGCTCAGTGGGGAGCCTGCTTCTCTCTCTCCCACTCCCCCTGCTTGTGTTCCCTCTCTCTCTCTCTCTGTCAAATAAATAAAATCTTAAAAAAAAAAAAAGTAAAATCTTTAAAAATAAAAACAATTCCTCAAGAGACAGAACACCCACAAGAAGAAAAACTAGGAAAGTTTACCACCCATAGATCTTGAGGGGTGTATTTTAGAACACAGGAAAGCTATCCCAAGAGGTAGATCAGCAGGTGAAATGACACATATCTGGGTAAAAAAATGTAAAGGCCCGATCTGAGCTTTAAAAAAATGAGAACTGAAGCAGTAAATACTGAAATGGGATTGAGGCCTTTGCACTTTGCAAGAGGGTGGGGATTACCTTTAGGCTATATTAAGGACTTCTGGGAACGCTGGTAGGATGTAGAGGGGAACCCCGGACAGGGACAACAAAAAAAAAAATGCAAAAAAGGAAGATTAGTAAAAGCAGGATAAGGAAGGCAAAACCAGAGGGTAGACTCTCAAATATTACTCATCCAAATAAGCATACATGGAATAATCGTGACAGTTACAAGGTTTTTTTAAATTTATTTTTTAAAAAAACTTATTTAGAGAGAGTGCAGCAGGGAGGGGCAGAGGGAGCGAGAGAGAATCTCATGCAGACTCCCTGCTGAATGTGGACCCCTGACACGGGGCTCGATCCCACGACCCCGAGATCATGACCTGAGCTGAAACCAGGAGTCAGATGCTTAACCCACTGCGCCACCCAGGCGCCCCACAAGATTTTTTTTTTTTTAATCCACCTCTTCGCTGGTTAAAGGACTTCAAGTCCAGGATACGTGAACGTTGCAAGTAAAAGAACAAGACAAAAAAATCAGATGTAATACTTGATCTGGAACATTCCACGTGTCACAACCCTAAAATCTCAGCATGACGGGACCACGGGAGGTAGTCCGAGCTCCTCATTGAGCAGCTCAGAAGCAGTGGGAACAGATGTTCTTTTTAAGCACAGGACGTTTCTCAGAATTGACCAAACCCAGCCACAGGGGAAATCTCCAGGCCCCAGAACCAGGATCCTGCAGGCTGCGTAGACGAAAGTTCAGGGAGGTTTGAGAACAGTGAGGAAATGTTGACTGAGACCCACGACTGTGGAGCTGGGAAACCGAGCACGTGGCCAGTAAGTAGCCCCGCCCCCTTCCTCGTAGTGCCCGGCTTCATTCGTTCTGGCTGCTTCTCTCTTTTTTTTTTAAAGATTTTATTTATTTGAGAGAGAGAGAGCGCACATGAGAGGGGGGGAGGGTCAGAGGAGAAGGAGACTCCCTGCCAAGCAGGGAGCCCGATGCGGGACTCGATCCCGGGACTCCAGGATCATGACCTGAGCCGAAGGCAGTCGCCTAACCAACTGAGCCACCCAGGCGCCCTGCTTCTCTCTTCTCACTCCCTCTGCCTCCCAGAGCCCCAGGACCACCAGCACTGCCTCCACCATCAGCCCCCTGGAGGGGCCCCCGTGCCCCAGTCCTGGCCCAGCCCCTCGGTCTGAAGCCCCCCATTGCCGCCTCAGGGGCTGCTGAGACCAGCAGCCACCAAGGGCCCTCACCCCACTCGGTCTGCTGACCTGCCCTGCAGCACCCACCACTTCCCCACGGCCTCCCCTCTCACGGCCCCTTCATTTAATTCACCTGACTTCCAAGTTTCTCCCCCAGCTCCCGATGCTCCTCTGCGCGCCCATTCTCTGTCTCCGGGTCCGCCTGACATTCCCAGCTTCTGTGAAACTATTGGGAATCAGCCCCTCTTCCCTCCCCAAAGTACCTTTCTGGAACGTTTGCCTATCGCAGTGGGGGGAAACTCAAAGTGGAAACCTTGCCAAACCCTAGGGAGTCCCCTCGCTCCCTGTCCTCCTTACCTCCGAGGAAATATCCAGAATCCTCCCAAGATGCTGCCTGCTTTCCTCTCCCTCCAGTTTCCACCCTTGTTCTGATTCTCTTTTCCCCATAGTGGGGCGATGACACTGAACAGCGCAAATCTGACATCGTAGAGAAGCCATCCCCACCACCCCACCCCCCACCCCCCACCCCGCCAAATACTGGTTTTGAGTGGGGAGGGGTGCTTGGAAGCTTGTACAGAAAAATAAACCAGCATCATCGGGAAAGTTCTGGTAAGGTGCATGGCGGGGTACCGATCCTCGAACGTATTAAACCTACTATAAAAGTATAGGAACTGAAACAGTGAGGAACAGAGCTGAGTCCATAAATGGAATAGACTGCAGTCCTAAAGATCACTGGGAGCAAAGAGCTGTCAGAAATACTTGGTAACCATCTGGAGAAAAGAGCAAACTTGTGTATCTCGAATCAGCCCGAGGCCAACTTCCGATGGATCAGATGTCGAAGCCAAAGCAGAAGCTGCGAAATAAAACCCGAACCGAAAAGGGAGATTGTGGCATCTAGCACCTGAGCCATGAGAAGAGTCTAGAAGCCATCAGCCCCCACCTCTGCTCCGTCTAGAGAACCAACAGGCAAAAACGGACGACAAAGGACAAACCTGAGGGCTTATCCCTGGGGGCTTATCCCTAACCTCACAGATCAAGGGCTCCTGCCGGTGGCAGCAGCCAGAGAAAGGGCAGCAAGCCACGGAAAAGTGGGCAGAGGATGGGACGCGCGCTCCCAGGAAGGGACATGCAGTGGCTCCAGCCCAAGGAAAGAATGAATTAAAGTGACTGAGGTCATCTCGAGGGAAGTAGGTTCCTATATGAAAGGGTCTCTGAGCCAGAGTGCTCCGCAAGACGAGGGGATGCCCGGGGTGGTAGCACACGCCGTGAGCTAGGATGTGGGTGAGATACCCGCAAGATGTGTGTGAAATGCTGCACGGAAGCAAGAAACCCAGGTTGATTTCCAGGAGTGGCTCAGGCAAACTGTGAGTTCCCTGTGCTTTCTGATGTCCAGATCGTGAGAATACAGTAGCCGCTCAAAAAACTTGATAACAGGTGTACGTAAGCCGCACCGTAGGACCCACTTCTGCAAAGACACGGATAGACCGATGCGCAGAGGCAGGAGGGGGCTCCCCTAAGTGGGAACAGGAGTAGCCAATGCCATGACCAGTAAGCGGCAGTGAGATGCTGGGTCAGCACCAGCAGGCACTGGCAAAGGCACCAAGGAGCAGGGGCGGAAACCCTTGTCGAATCTGGTCAGGTGGTCCTGGGCAGACCCCGAGGCGGAACCCGAGACCTGCCACCAGCGCCGGCAGGGAAAATAGAATTTATGGAGAGCGGTGGTGCGCACGGCAGCAACCTCTGGGTCGACTTTTGGGAACACTGGGGTGCAGAAGACATCTTTTTTATTTTTTTAAGATTTTATTTATTTGAGAGCAAGAGAGGGAGAAAGAGCACAGAGGGAGAGGGGGAGGGAGAAGCAGACTCCCTGCTGAGCAGGGCTCTATCCCAGGACCCCCGAGATCAGGACCCGCACTGAAGGCAGACGCTTAACTGACTGGGTCACCCAGGCATCCCCCAGAAGACATCTTTATAGTTTGAAATATGCAAACCATACCTTATTTAGAAATTAGGGGGCTTGGGGCGCCTGGGTGGCTCAGTCGGTTAAGCGTCTGCCTTCAGATCGGGTCATGATCCCAGGGTCCTGGGATCGAGCCCCACATCGGGCTCCCTGCTCAGCGGGGAGCTTGCTTCTCCCTCTGCCGGCCGCCCCCCCTGCTTGTGTTCCCTCTCTCTCTGTGTGTCAAATAAATAAATAAAATCTTTAAAAAAAAAAATTAGGGGGCTTTCTCTGGACTTAACCTGGACACTTACCATATTGATTCGAGTTTTTAAAACACTGCATAACTTGTTTTCAGAATGTGGAAGGAATGTAGGGGCTGTGGCAGATGGAGACAGAGGCCAGTGGATGGAGAATCACAGAGGCTGTGAAGACTTTCCTTGTTGGGCTGTGAGCCAGCCAGGGCCCCCGGAGCCAGGGAGGAGCCCTACTCTGGGCGGAGTGTCAGGGAGCTCTGGCCAGTTTTGCCCACTCTCTGGAAGGGGAGGAAGATAAAGTGCAGGGTTTATCCAGACCCAAGTGGTGGGGTTAAATCAGGCGGAGGGCTTTTGCCCTCCAGCGGCAGTGGGTAGCTCCAGAGAGAGGAGAGAGGAGGGTTTAATTGGGAGGAGCAGGGACGCCATGCCCACTAGGCGGAAGGCAAGGTCTTATGGCCGTGTGGGCAGGGAGGAAGGACCCAGGTGGGCCGCCGCCTGGCAGGAAAAAGGGATGGGGAGGGCGATGCGGGCGAGACAGGGCGGTATGCGGGGCATGGGGTCCCGGGGCTAACCTGGGTCCGGTTCTGGCCCCCAGGAAGCCGCTGAGGAACGGCCTGGTGAAAGACAAGCGCTTCTGAATTCCTTGATCACCGTCCCACCCCTTAGGACCCAGCCTCGCCCGACCACGCCCCCCAGGGACCGACCACGCCCCTCCTCCGGGACTCTGGCTCCGTCCCTCCCCGCCCCACCTGGGCCCTGGCCACTCCCGGTCACCTCCCCCTGGACTCCTGCCCCGCCCCCGGGGTCTACCCCCGTCCGGCTTCAGGACCGCGGCCACGTCCCCCGGGACCCTGACCCCGCCCAGCCCCAGACCTCCGTCCAGGCCCCTCCAGGGACCTCGGCCCCGCCCCCAGCCTGCAAGTCGAGGGTGCCCGGCGGCTCCTGAGCACTCGTCCGGCCGCCGCCAGCGAGGAAGATGCCACCGCCGCGCCGCCGTCCTGGCCGCCGCGTCCTTTTCCTCCTCCTGGCCCTGCTGCTGCCCTCACCGCCCCCAACGCGCGCCCCAGCGCCCCCGGGCCCCGCCGCCGCTCTGCTCCAGGCTCTCGGGCTGCCCGACGTGCACCGGGGCGCCCCCACGCCCCGGCCCGTACCCCCCGTCATGTGGCGCCTCTTCCGCCACCGGGACCCCCAGGAGGCCAGGGTGGGCCCGCGGCGGACGCCCCAGGGGACCACCCTGAGACCGTGCCACGTGGAGGAGCTGGGGGTCGCCGGAAACATCGTGCGCCACATCCCGGACCGCGGTGAGTGGGGCCTGCGCTGGGGGCGTGTGTCGGGGAGGCTGGACCCCGCCGCGCGCCCCGCCACGAGCCTCCAGCGCCGCGTGGGGGAAGCCAGAGCGGCTCCGAATGTCCCCACCCGTCCCGTCCAGCCCACGAGCAACCTGGCCCCCCGCACTCCATGGGCTCTGCCCCGTGGGCACCTGCGGGGACCGGCTGGAGTGGTCCCACGGCCAGGATCCCTTGCACGGGGCAAGGCCCCTAGCTTGCAGCTGAAGCCCTGCCCCCACTCTCCGCTCGTTCCCCCCGCTGTTTCACACCATTTGATGCCTTTCCTGCAGATACCACCTCTCCAGCATCGCTTCCCCACCGGCCCCAGGCATCCGTTCATCTCTAGCCCCGGCTGGGTCCCGCCGGCAGGCCGCCCTGCACCGGGCCGGGCCTCCTCTTACTTGCCAGCGATGCCCTGCCCCCACTCCCTCACTCCCCGCCCCCTCCCCCGCCCCGCGCGCCACTTAACACCGTTTGACGCCTTCCAACATTTGCCGCCCCCAGCCCCAGGCGCTCACCTTTTCCCCGTCCGCAGCAGAAACCCCCTCGCGGGCAGGCCAGGCAGGGCGCGGGGGCGCAGCGCGAGCCCAGCCTTCTCCCTGCCTCCCCAGGTGCGCCCACCCGACCCCCGGAGCCCGCACGGGCCGCGGGGCAGTGCCCTGAGTGGACCGTCGTCTTCGATCTCGCGGCCGTGGAGCCCGCGGAGCGCCCGAGCCGAGCCCGCCTGGAGCTGCGCTTCGCGGCGGCGGAGGCGCCGTTCGGCTGGGAGCTGAGCATAAGGCAGGCGGCGGAGGGCGCGGGCGCGGGCGCCGGGCCGGTGCTGCTCCGTCAGGCGGTGCCCACCCTGCGGACGCCGGTGCGCGCCGAGCTGCTGGGCGCCGCCTGGCCCCGCAACGCGTCCGCGCCGCGCAGCCTCCGCCTGGCGCTGGCGCTGCTTCCCCGGGCCCCCGCGGGCTGCGCGCACCTGGCCGAGGCCTCGCTGCTGCTGGTGACCCTCGACCCGCGCCTGTGCCACCCGCTGGCCCGGCCGCGGCGCGAAGCCGAGCCCGCAGTGGGCGGCAGCCCCGGGGGCGCGTGTCGCACGAGGCGGCTCTACGTGAGCTTCCGCGAGGTGGGCTGGCACCGCTGGGTCATCGCGCCGCGCGGCTTCCTGGCCAACTACTGCCAGGGCCAGTGCGCGCTGCCCGCCGCGCTGTCGGGCCCCGGCGGGACGGCCCCGCTCAACCACGCCGTGCTGCGCGCGCTCATGCACGCGGCTGCCCCCGGCGCCGGCGGCCTGCCCTGCTGCGTGCCCGCGCGCCTGTCGCCCATTTCCGTGCTCTTCTTTGACAACAGCGACAACGTGGTCCTGCGGCACTACGAGGACATGGTGGTGGACGAGTGTGGCTGCCGTTGACGGGGCCAGATGGGGGGCCCAGACAATAAACACTGCGTGGTCCGCTCCCCTGTCTCCCGTCTGGTCGCCTGGGGGCGGGAGAGGAAGCAGCCAAGGTGGTGGGACAGTGACCCCCAGTGACGCCACCTGCCCAGCTCTCCCAGGGCTGGGGTCCTACATCCCAATCTCCACGTAGCCCAACAGCTAACCTGCCCAAGAGCCTGGGAGCTGCCCACAGCAGGCCCAGGCACTGCCCAATAGCAGGGGCCTTGGTCACTACCTGCCGCCAGTCCCCGCCATGCTGATCATCTAGCCATTCTCAGCTTTGCCGTCCAGGCGACCCCAAGGCTTCCCAAAAGCCAGGCCCCCAGACCAGGAGCTCTGCCACCTCCCTGCAGTTCATCTGCCCCAGTGTGAACACAAGAGCTGTTTATTAAGATTTTATTGGTGACAATAGAGCTTAAAACAAATCGACCAGAAATCAAAAGTTACATTGCCTTGGTACAGATGCCCCTCAATTTGGAAAACAAGAACTGCTGCTATTAAGGTGGAGAACAAAGCAAACAGCACAAAGCAGAGGCAAAGCATTCCAAGGAACAGAACAGGGCGGGCAGGTGGGCACAGGTTGCCCACGGGGTGTCGCACAGGGGGTCAGAGCGGAAACCTATCCAAACTCTACGCCTCTATGTGGCCTACCAAAAGAAGGGGGAAACCGAAAGCCCTACAGCAATGGTAATAAATAAGAGGCCTAGCCAGAAGGAAGGTGGCCTGTGTGTCCCCGTCTCCCAAGTACAAGCTGGAATCTGGAGGCTTTGATAAGGGCCAGTGTCAGCCTCACAGGGACGGGGACGCTGGGGGGGGGGGGGTATGGTCAGGGTCACCAGGGCCTGGGTAGGCAGGGGATGGTCCCCAAGTAGGTGGTTGTCAGGGAGACTACCACCCCCACAGTGGTGTGCAAGGAGCTGGGGATGGCTCTCCCAGCTACAGTAATTTCTGGAGTTGTGGCCCAGACCCCTCCAGACAGAAGCCCCCTCTACTAGCTGATGTGACGAACTGCTCCAAGCCCCTTCGGCGTAGAACCAACTTATTTCTGAAACTCCTTTACCCCAAAAAAGCAGAAATCACCCCACCCCATCACAGCCATACCCACAGGTAGGAGGTCTCCCAACCCGGAGGGTGGGGTAGAGAACAAGGCAGGTGGGGCGCTCGGCATGTCCAACCAGCCACGGGCACTGTGGGCGCCTCCCTGGGGATGGGTCCTCTTGGCGGCGGTCTTCCACCAAATCCTCAGGAAGGACCCCGGGGAAGAAGCCACCCCCCCACCCTCTGGCCTCACAGCCAGTCCTGCCCAAGGCCCGTCCAGGGGTGGGTGGGGCACGAGTCCGCGGCGCGCGGGAAGCACTTGGCTTCTCAGAGTCCAGCGGAGACACCGTGGGGCTGCCTGGCCCGGGACGAGACCGTGCTCCCTCACAGCCCTGACGTGCAGGGAGAAGCCGCTGGAAGCTAAAACTGAAAACAAAATTTCTCCTCGCGATCCCGTCACAGGTGTTGATCCTAATCTTGAGATGTGTTGGCTTGTTTAAACTTCGTTTCTGGAAGCTTCTCACATCTCCCAGGTCCACCACTAAGATTTGGGAGACAAACTCAGGAAAGTATATTTTTCAGTACTCATTTGAAAGAATCTTTAAAAAACAAACAAAAACCCCAAACACCGTGTTTTCTTCAAATGAAACCCTCTTAGAACACAGGCAGCGTGACCAGGGCCGTTGCAGAGCTGGCGTGGACAGAACCCACACCTCCGCGGGGCTCTCCCAGCACGGCTGCCTCGGCAAGGAGCCTGCTCGGCACAGAAATGCGAAGTTTTTCCTGCTAAAACGTAGTCCCCTTTCAAGAAAAGAGAAACAGAAAGAAAAGAACAGAGGAAAGGGCTACTCTGAGATGAGGGTGTGCCTCCCTCCGCCCTGGTCGCAGACCCAGGTGTGCACGCGGCGAGCGCTGGGCCTCCTTGGCGAGCGGGGCAGCCTGGCAGGGCTCGCTGGCGGACGGTCCTCCGCGGCCGCCCGCCTCCCGCTCTCCCTTCTCCTTCTCCTCGCCGCCGCGGGCCAGCAGTGGGCGCTCGCTCGGTCTCGGGCTCCTCTCTCCCTCGGGTGCTCCTCTCCCTCTCCTGTTGCTCACAGTGGTGCTTCAGTTTTAGCAGTGGAAAACAGGTATCCATTTATTTTTATTTTTTATTACCCAGAATAAGATGCTGATGGACTAAGCCACATAGCTTAGCTCTTCCGCTGCCACCTGCAGGGAGGGAGGAGAGCAGAGGGCCATCAGAGCAGCTCGGGGACCCCCCGCCCCGAGGGTGCAGGGCTCCTCCCCTCGCCCCACCATGCGCTTGTGAGATGGAGCGTCGGAGGCTGGGCGAATGCCCGCACTAGTGACTCCCCACGCCACGGAGAGGGGCGCCGAGAGTTAAGGGGCCCTTCTGCCAGCGGCACTAGCACCCCGCTCACCCAGCACACAGGGAGGGGGCCCGGGCGCAGGCTCACCAGCTCTGGTCACGCCACATTCGGGGGAACCCTACGTCAGGGTCTTAGCGGCCCCCCGAGCCCCTGGTGCAGAGGAGCCCCGTGTAGCTGGGACAGGACTCCCACCCCCACCCCTTCCTCACGGAGTCCTAGGACTCTCTCAGGCAAGGACCACCACGCAGGGAGCTGGGCACGAAGCTCCTATCCCCGTCACCACGAGCAGACGCACAGGAGCCAAAACGGCCGGCCACAGGACAAGCTGGCCTCCTGGGGACTTGAGACCCCTACCACACATTTCCCTGATTTCCCATCAAGTCCAGATCCCGACGATGAAGACCTCCTGCAGGGGTCAGCTTGCCTTCTAGTACTGGGACAGCCCTGTCACTCCGCCGTGCTGGTATGCCCGCTCCCCTTGGTACGTGGAGTCTTGCGACAGCGCCACATCGATCTGTGACTTAAACTCATCGCCAAGGTAACTGTCCTGAAAAACAAAGTTGGGGAGATAGGCATCCACTTGGAGGATGTGTTCACGTCCTTCCAGCCTCAAGTACCTGCCCCAGAGAAGGATCTGGAAAACCCGGTTCTAAAGCCTAAGTGGCAGGAGACCCCCACTGGTTACCTCACCATCGGACACAGGTCACCCAGGCCAGCTGCCTAAGACTGCATCGGGAAGGTGATGCTTTAGGCCCCCCAGCCCCCCTGCTGAGAGCGGACCTATGCAGAAGGCCAGGCGGAGCCGTGCTCAGGTCTGCAGGGGTGAGTATGGGGGGTCAGTCCCGGCTGTCCTGACCTCCCTGCCGCCGGCTCACCTGGGACAGCTCGGGCTGGGAGAGGCCAGGCTGGCTCATCTGGGAGGGCTGGCTCATGGAGATGTAGCCCTGGGTCAGGGCGCCCTGGGAGAATGGCTGGGACGCCACGTCCTGGCTGGCCTGGCTGTTGGGGAGATTCGTCTGGCTGGGTCCAGGGAGCCCAAAGCGGTTCTTCTGGCGCCCCCCACGACCAGTCTTGCCTTTTGGGGTACCCCGGCCTGAAAGACAGCAGCCCAGGTTCCTTGAAGGTGATCTGCACCCGACCGACCAGCCCAGCTGCCCAAAGCCCAGACTTGAACAGACTCCAACGCCAACGTGCTTTGTCCGACATGCTGCCGCCTGGCGCTCACCTGCTGCTGGCCCGTTCGCTTGTCCAAAATACCCTGGTGGGGGCATGGGGGGCATGACAAGGTTGAAGGGGATGGGAATGTTCATGGCGGCCACATGGCTGGGGCCTGCACTGATCATGCCGATCTGGTCGTGGGTCTGGAAGTACATGTTTGAGGGCCGGCCTGCAAGACACAAGGTGGATGGCAGGCGTCACCGCCACATCCCAACGAGCCTGCTGCCTGCCCCGCCAATGGCAGCTGGAGTGGCTGGAATGTCACTCGCACCCTGCTGCTGCTCTGAGTGCCACAGCGTTGCTCGGGGCAGCCCGACAGCAAAGCCACCTGGGTGATACAGAATTTCACCACTCGACCCCCACTCCTGAGAGCCTCCCTGGGGCTGGCTCCTGGGAACAAGCCTTTTCTCCCAGGGTATTTGGAGAATCCCTGGCCTACAAGCACCCAAAAGACTGAAGCTACGTTGCATTTCCAACTGAAAAAAAAAAAGTTCTTTGTGGATAAAATTCTATGCTCGTATTACCCGCACCCCCCTCTCTACCATTACCACCAAAAGCAAGAAAACACCTTACTGAACAGACCAGTGGATCCCACTGAAAATGAAGGCCCCCGGGTACCCCCAGGCTAGGCATATCCCAATGTGCACAGAGCCGCCCCAGGGCCTGGGAAGTCAAAGGGAGTCAAGGCATGACAGCACAGCCTTCTGGTCTGCCCCCAAGGGCCGAGAGCCTTCGCTGGGCCCACGGTGAGCTCAAGGATGAAAGATGGACCCAGAGCACCCTACATGGCAACTCACTGGATGTGGCAATGAGATCTGTCACTTGAGCCAACAACCAGGAGAATACTGGGCAAGCAAGGAAAGCGGGGGCTTGCTCATTTCACACGTGAAAGGAGCTGCTGGGGTGCATCCGGCCCCAGGATGGCCAGTGAGCTCGCGAGGGGACGAAGCTCAGTGTAAAATGCGGGCGTGTGGCACCAAGCCCTGGGTGAGCCAGTCACCCTCTGCAGAGGCTGGTGCGGGGAAGGGTCCCAGGAGGCAGGGATCTGGGCGATGAAGGGGAACCATCCAGATGCTGGCTCAGGCAAGAGGGGCTGTTGCACACAGCAGGGGTAATGCTCAGCTTCAGAACAGAGACCCTACACAGGAGAGCGGTCTGAGAGAGCAAGCAGAAACGGGAAGACCGGCGAAACTGGAACCAAGACTGTGGGCAGCCTGGAGGAGCTGCAGCGGTGCCCCTCCCACTGAGTGGGCAAAGCGCAGGGGCTGGGGGAGGGGAACACCGTGGCCTGGGGCCCAGGAGCAAACAGGCAGAGCTACAGTATTTGCTTGCAACCCTCCATAAGCAGACCTGTGGTATTTTTTAAAAATGTGTCTTTAGACACTGGCAAAGACCAATTCTTTGATTTCAGACAAGGGAAGGTGAGAAGGAACTGTCAGGCAAGCTTCTGTGGACTGAGGCTTGGGAGGTGACCCCAGGAGTGACAGGGCCAAAAGCTGCAGGCGTGGGAATGATCAACATCCAGGGCCCGCGTGGTCCCCCGCAGACTCACCCTGGCTGCTCCGATCATAGACGGATCCTGGGATAATGGCCTCCCGAGCATCATACATGGCTGTTGTCATGAAGCGGGCTCCCTGCAAACAGTTCAGATAGGTGAGGAATTTACCACCTCGACACAAGAACCACCTCTCAAGATCTGCGGGCCGGGCCACGCCTGGGCCGACCCTCCTCCACGGACTTGCTGACTGTGGGCTCTGGGCCTTGCACGCCCCTCCTCCACGGACCTGGCCTTTGGTGCTGCACGAACTCTGTCTTCGGCCTTCACGTCAAGCGGCAGCACAGCTTCTAGGTGCCCCAGAGCACCCTGGGTTCACAGGGTTTCCTAACTGCCTGTGTCCAACTCCTGGGCGCCACCCATGACTTTACATCCCGAAAGGCCAGGTGGAAAAGCCTTGGAGATGTGGGGCGGAGGAGCTCTGTGACAACTCAGCTCGCGCCGGCCGCCACCCACTGCCACACGCCGCGAACCGCAGCCCGGCCCTGGGTTCCTGCCACCGCACCCGCCGCCGCTCACCGGGTTGATGGTGTTGACCAGCTTCCTGGGCTTGCTGAACTGCATGAGGCTCTCCCGCAGGTTGTTCAGGGGCCCCTCCACCAGCACCTTCTGCTCCTTGTAGTAGTTCAGCAGGTGGTTCCAGAGCGGCTGCTTGGACAGGGCCTTTGGGTTGCCCACAATAATGACCCCATACCTGCAAGGCGTGGGCACGAAAACACGGTGTTTGGGGCTCTGCATGGTGAGTGGAACACCACGTAACACAATGAAGCAAGACTGAACAAAAACTCAAAATCCATATCCAAGGTGACGGGCCGTTCTCCCGGCACCCTGTCTGCCTCCCTGCCCCGACGCCCGGCCTGCCCATGACAGCGCCCACCGCTGAGTGCCGGGGACAGAAGGGCATACCGCTGGTCACAGTGACCCGGCACTGAAGCCCGCCACGCAAGCTGCCCACAGTGCACTGGGTGTATCTGCAGACAATTTCTGAGGAGCCCAGACATCAAAACCCCTCCATGAGCAGAGGAGCTCAGATGAGTCTCCTTGTTTGCAGCCACGGGTCGGCCTCCTGGGAGGTCAGCCCCAGCAGGCTCCGTGGCCTTGGGAACCCCGATAGGCCAGGGCACAGACCTCAATGACCAAGCCGGGGACTGGCTTCTCTGGTGGACGCTCACCCCACCGAGCTGTTTCAGGACCCCCGTGCCCCAGTGCTGGCCACCAAACAAGACAGCACCTTAGAAAGGGGGGAGGTGGTAACAGATAACAAGCAACATGTCCTGACAGGGCAAGGAACCAATGTGTGAAGTGAGCCTGACTTCTGGCTGGTATGGGGGCAGCTGCAGTCATTTTACTCAAAGGTGACAAAGAGCCACCTTATTCTCTGGGTCCCCTCTGCTATCATTATTTCAAAAAACATTACATTCTAGGGCCAAAAAGGTAGGTGAGACCAAAAGATAAGATTTAGGGTTAAATGTCTCCACGTGGACACAACCTGCACTAGTGGCTTTCTTAGGTCAAAAGGGCCTAGATGACCCTTCCCACAAAACTGAGGCCACACAAACCCACCAGGACATGAAACAAAGGCATCTCATGGGGAGGCATTCTCTCTAAACTGCTGCTTGGGAGCGCTCTGACCTCTGGCGCTGGCGAAGCCCAGTCCCGCCCCAAGTGCAGCCCAAGGTTCAGGTGTGGGGCAAGGAGAAGAACCGAAGAGGCGATCCAGGCAGGGAGCAGCTCTTGGGCGGACCCTCCCAGCTCCAGACTCTAAGGGAAAAGTCCCTCTGAAGAACTCCCATGGCAGGAGGGAGGCACCTGCCATCAGCAAGGCCCAGCGGGACACAGTCCTCTGTACCTCGCTCTGGTCAGGGCCACATTAAGTCGCCTGGGGTCGTTTAAAAATCCGATGCCTTGGTGCTCGTTGGCTCGCACACAGGAAAGGATGATGAAGTCCTTCTCTCGCCCCTGGAATGCGTCCACGCTGGCAATCTCCACCTCCTACAAGGGACACACGGTCACAGTCAGCCAGCTGCTGGCTGCCTTCAAGGACCCTCAGACTGTGGGAACGCTGTTGAGGTGCACCGTCCAATCCCACCAAGGAGCCTGGGACCTGAAGCCTGCAGAGCACCCCCACGCCACCCACCTGCTCGCTGCGCCTCCGGACAGCAAGGACGGAGCCCCTCTGGCTGGGCCTGCTCCCACTGGGCCTTCACGGTCCCCAGCCCCACTCTCCTGGCCTTCCTGTGCTTCAGCTGCCTTTTTAACTGTGGCAATTTGTTTCCCAATAATAAAAGCACACGTGCTTGCCATAAAAGACCTTAGACTGGACCCAAGTTAATGAAATAGAGACCACCTGTCATCCTCACTCAGTTGCTACTTTGCATTTTGGTTCATTTCCGCAGAGATAAAGAATGACGTTGTCCCGCACCCTTTCAGCACACACATCCTGGACATTTAATCCAGGCAAGGACACAGGGGTGAATCGCATTTTCATGACTACATAACACGCACTGTAAGGCTGCCTCGTAATCACACCGTATGGCTCGACTTAGAATTATTTTGTTTAGCTCTGAAAACTATCCCTCGCAGGCCGGTGCCCTCACAGCCGCAGGCCAGGCAGGGGGAGCCGGCAGGCCCGAGTAGGTGCGCGCACCTGGTAGAGCTTGGTGTGCAGGGAGCCGCTGAACTGCATGTACTGCACCAGGTAGGAGCGCTGGCCCTCGTACGGGGTGATGATGCCGATCTGGTCAGGCTTGGCGCCCGCCTTCAACAACTTCGTGGTGATCTTCTCCACGTTGGCAGCTTCCGTCCTAAGAAAACCCACCTTTCAGCTCCTGGGCTGCCCCCGCGGGCCCGAGACCAAGGCTGGAGCCTGTGGGAGGTGTGGGGCCAGCTCCACCTCTGGGGCAGCCCTGAGAAGGCCTTACCCGCTGCGCCCACAGCCAGGCTCCCCATCATTTACCAAGAGAGTCACAGGGGACGGGACAGGCTCACACGTGGGCTTAGCAGTATCTGCTCAATAGAAGAACCCACACTGAAGATGCAAGGTGGAAATACGCTGTTGGTTTAGGTGTCCACACAGAATGGGGACGAGAAGGGCGAGGAAAAGCTTTAGCACCGCGGTAGAAAACGGAGTGCCAAGCTGCCACTGACGCCTGCGGATGCTGAGGGCGAGTCTCTGCTTACCTGTTCAGGTAGGAGGTGCCTGAGCTAGCGATCTCCTCTTGGCCCTGGGTCACGTAGAAGAACATCGGCTTATCAGGTTGGGGCCACTGGAAGTCAAACCCCTTCTTCACTCGGTCCGCTGTCACCGGGGGGGGGGGGGGGGGGGGGGAGGGAGGGGAAGAGACAACACTACCCATTAGAGAAAAAAGCCACAGCCCACCTTGACTGAGTGCCGATGGAGCAATGCAGAGACCGGGCCATCAGAGGCAGAGGCCTGTGGTAGAGCAGTTAACAGCAGGCTTCGGGCAAGAGACCCTGGTCAATGGGGCCCCGAGGAGGCCGCTGGAGCGGGTTCCACTGCCCCAAAACGCCTCGGATGAAGGGAAGCTGCACATACCAACACCCAGCTGCCCGGTGCACAAAGCTGGCTCACTCACTGAACATTCTCTCACCAGCTGGTGCTTTCCGTGGCCTGTTTAAGAAATCTCTGCCTACCCCAGGGTCACAAGGATACTCTGTTTTCTTCTAGAAGTTTTACTGTGGTGCCTTAAAGGACCCCTAAGTCCCTCCAACTGGCTTTTGTGGATGACACTGTTGAGTCAATCTCATCCTGTCACAGACCAAAGCCTACGGACGGGTGGGCCTGCCTCTGGATTCTACCTGGGGCACCGTGCCCACAGTACCCTGGCAATTGCAGTTCTACAGTAATTCAGGACATGTGGTAGTGTAAGCCACCACCTCCACTAGGCTCTTCATGTTCACCTTGGCTATTCTGGGCCCTGTGCATTTATTTCCTTATAATTTAAAAAATTAGCTCATCCATTCACACGCCCCACTCACCCCTTTGGGAATTTTGGAGCTGCATCTAATCAACAGATCAGCATGAGAAAAATGGCATTTTTGCCTCAAAACAGCCTAACATCAGGGATCCACTTTATGTCAAGCTGAGAAAGAGGCCACATCCACCTCCACCCTTCCCGCAAGGGCAGTAGCCAACTGGCTAGCTCAGTGGCGCATTAGCCCAGGGGCTGCCGGCAAACGTTTGCCCACTGGGGGCGGTGGGGCAGGGCTGGTCTATAAGGCTCCTGCCCCAGCTAATGTCAGGCTACCCCAAGAGGGAGTCTGGGTGGGTGCCAGCACCGCCTTGGGCAGGGGCCACCTCGGGGCTCAAGGGGGCTCCTGGGAGCTGCTCAGGCTGTGTTCTGGGTTCAGATACTAATTACACAGGTGTGTTCACTTAGAGAAGACTCACCAAGCTGAACACAGGATTTGGGCACTTCTTTACACTTTAATGAAAAATTAAAAAATATGTATTCAGGGCACCTAGGTGGCACAGTCAATTAAGTGTCCGACTCCTGGCGTCTGCTCAGGTCATGATCTCAGGGTCAAGAGATCAAGCCCCGTGTTGGGCTCTGTGCTCAGCGTGGAATCTGCTTCAGATTCTCTCTTCCCTCTCCCTGCCCCTTCCGCTCATGCTCACTTTCACGGTCTCTAAAATAAATAAATAAATCTTTGAATGGAAAAAAAAAAAAGACAGACATATACATACACGTACGTACTTACTGGGTGCTGACCACGTGCCGGGCACGCAGGACACTACAGGGAACCACCAGCACTATGGCTCCCTGCCCCCCAGAGCCGCCACCACGAGGAAGGCAGAGCAGGGCCGGCAAGGGCCAGAATCGGTGCTAAGTGGTGGCTTTCCCAACTAGTGTCAAATGGCAAACAAGCTCCTTGTGGCCTGGCCTTTCCTCGCCCCACCCCCCAACGGACCAGCACCGTTCTAAGTGTCACGGTGATGGTGATGATAACAGTGCCGTCAACCCCCAGGGCCACACGACACCGCGGCTGCACGGCCGGGCCAGGCGGGCACTCAGCCTCCGTCTCACCCAGACGGCGGGCCGGGCAAGGCCGACATGGCAGGCTGCTGGCATTAACCGGACATTAAGAACGCCAGTCTCAGGACCCCTTATACAGCCTAAAAAGTTGAGGAATCCAAGCAGCTACCATTTGCATAGCTTGTATCTACGACATTTGCTGTATTTTAAAACCCAGAAACATAAAATATTTATGAATTCCTTTAAAAATAATCAGCCAAAAACATATTTTATAAAAAATAACATTTCCTGGGCGCCTGGGTGGCTCAGTCGGTTAAGCAACTGCCTTCGGCTCAGGTCATGATCCTGGAGTCCCTGGATCGAGTCCCACATCGGGCTCCCTGCTCGGCGGGGAGTCTGCTTCTCCCTCTGACCCTCCTCCCTCTCATGTACTCTCTCTCGCTCATTCTCGCTCTCTCAAATAAATAAATCTTTTAAAAATAAATAAATAAATAACATTTCCCACTAAAATATGTATCTCTTGAGTTTCTGCAACTCAGCGACGTGGCTGACTCTGCTTCTGTGCTCAGTCTCCCATCAGCCCTTGCAGGAGGACGATTGGGCGTCACAGATGCACATAGTTGGAAAAGGGAAGAGTGTTTTATAACTTTCCCCACAATCGTGGGGTTTTGACCGATTCCAGACCAAAGCTGGACAGGAGGTCACCCTGCAGGTTCGTGATGCTGGCCTCTCTCTTCTGCCCTGCCTTTGGGACGGCCTCTGACTTTGTAATGCCCTTGCTGGCCATCAGAATGAGAAGTACTTGCTCACCAAGTCTGGCAGAGCTCCCAAAGACTCGCACGCCTCACGGACATTTGTCACCACAACAGATCCCACCAGAAAAGCCACTCAGCATTGGAAAGACTTGGTCAGCCCAGATTAGGAACATGAGTTTTCCAAAATTCTGATTTTCATTTTGAATCCTCAGGTTTTATCACTGGAGACAAATACTGTCAATTGTTTTCCTTGAAGCCAAGGGCTGACTCACTTTGATCATTTCTGGCAAAGCACTGCTGAACTCAACCCCAGTCTGAATGACCGACCATACTGTGTCCCTGAACCCTTTTAAAAGCACCTACCACACCCTTCAAGTGTCTCAGAACTCCCTACCCCGTCACACCCAGGGTCATACGGATGGGCACCCAAGGGGTTAGTAAAGTGAGTACTCTCCACTGATGCATTCAGGGTCTTGCCTGCTGCAAGCATGTGGTGGTGACGACACATGGCAGTCTGGCAGCACTGTCCCCACTCATGTCGAGGCACCAGCCAGCCCTCCAGGGTTGTTTCTGTACCCTCAGCACGAGCGTCCGCATGGCAAAAGGGCACACGATCCCTCAGTGTTACTATGAGAGTAGTTCTGGCCTCAGTCCTGTGAAGCCCCAGGGCCCGGGGTACGAGAGCACCAGGGTGAGGAGTGGGAGGCACGGTCAGCTCAGCCACCTCCTGTTCTGTCCACCGTGTGACAGGCCCCCAGCGTGAATTCTCATGGAGTGACCCTGCATTTTACAAGGACAAGCTCCCCCTTGCCCACGGGCCAAGGACGTCCCCACTCCAGAGTGGACATGCCGTCCCGCAGACCACTGTACCTCTCTGAGGTCCCCCCTACACATAAGTGATCACCATGTTAAGGCCGCTTAGGCCGTGACAACAGGTTTCATCTCCCCAGGCTGCACTCCCTCCAGGCCCCCCACTCTGGGCTGAGCACTACCTGCCGTGACGCCATTCTGGAGAGAGCCCTCGTAGAAGATGTTGGATGGGAAGGCGCTGAGCGCAGGGTGCATCCGATACTGGACCTGCAGGCGGATGGGACGGATGCCCAGCACCACCAGGCGCTCGAAGAGTGACTGAGATAGTCCGGCCTTGGCTGCCTTCTTGCACATCACCACGGGGCCCAGCTGACAGTGGTCACCCACGAGGATGAGCTGTGGCGAGAGGTCCACACAGGTGAGGAGCTCAGGTGTGAAACCGCACAGACGTCCACTCATGGGGCACCAAGGGGCCCTGGTGTTATACAACCACCCAGCCACATGAATTCAACCAGGAAGAGGCGACCAGCACAGGACACCACCCACCACATAGAGGCATCCAGCTTTCCTAAATAAGTTCGTGTCATGTCACTGCTCTTTTACGGAAGACCTACGTTAGAGGTAATGGCTTTTGTCGTAAAAGCAAGAATCCTCTTCAGATTTCTTTTGGTTGTCAAAAACAGGTACTAACGTAAGTCTTTTGTAAAAGCAAGGTGGTGTAATAGGAACTTTCAGAAAGTAGGGATATTCTTCGCTTTATCCCATTTTGGCTTATAAGAGGTTTCAAAGCAGTGTTTCACTTTCGGATAGTGGGGGAAACCTATATATGAAACACACAGACTTGCACTCAGGACCCACAAGAGGTGCTCTGTGTGGCACCCATCCTTCCAAGAACCACTCAATGAGCCCGCTGGGCATCCCTCTGCTCTGCCAGGACATCACACGGCATTACAGAGCATTATCAGAAATGAACCCCCAGCACTGAGAATGACACGGAACTGGAACAAGAGAACACACACTGGTTTTCAAACAGGACGACAGTGAATGGCCCACCTGCTTGGCGCCAAGGACCACAGGGACCATGCACTCTGGTTCGGTGGCCTGGGTGCTCTCATCAATTAAAATGGAACGGAACTGCATCTTGGCGAGCCTCGGGTCCCCTGCACCCACACACGTGCAGCAGATGACATCTGCATTCTGGAGACGAGAGCAGGCAAGGCATCAGGAAACCTGCACGGTAAATGCTACCAGGCCCCAAAGGGCAGGCGGAACAGGACACTGACTGGCACCCTCCCCGACACCTACGGACACAGGCCACTGTCCCACCTGGGGGGCCGCATCTACGTCCGGGCTGCAGCGGCACTACCTTCTGAGACCCTAAGTGATCATGCTTCGTCACAAAAACCTATCAGCACAGATGTGGTCCTGTGCCTCAAGACAGCCTCAAAGAGGCAGTGCTGAGCTGGGGAAAGCTTGTCTGTTATAAAAGAGCAGGGGAGTGTTCCAGACCCACCTCCAGGCCAAGATGTACAACCACTGACAAGGCAAATACGGGAGGTACTGAAGTTCTTTCTCAAAAGCAAACTAAACTGATGTAAAGGCTCCACGCCATGATCCGCATTCTGCAACAGGTCCCACGGCCACACGGGGCCAAACGGCCCAGAGGTTAAGAGCTCACCATGAGCAGCTCCCTCTCGGCGGTGCGCTTCAGGGCCCGGTACCGCTTCTCGTCAGCAGAGGACAGCTCCCCCGTCTCGTCCTTCAGCTGCTGTAACTTCTGCAGCTCCGGCATGCTGGAAGCATGGCGACACGTCAGCAGGCACGGGAGCCAGGCGTCGCCAGGGACCGCGCACGGGAGACGTGCTGCACTCGAGGCAGGCTACCCAACACCCACCTATCCATATTCCTGATCTGGTTGTGCAGGGCCAGGAAGGACACTGGGGAGTCAATGGCCTCACGGCTCTTCGCGCAGAGCCGCACGACTTTCAGCCCAGTCTGGTGGATCTTCTCAGTCAGCTGATCCACAGCTATGTTACTCGGAGCACAGACGAGCACAGGCCTTCAACACACAAGGCGAACAAACATCTCAGAGCTCAGCCAGAGGAAGTTCAGGAAATGCTCACTGCCAGGACTATCGTTCTGAATCCTAGGCAGTGGAGCACCTCCCCACTGGGGACCTAGAACTAAAGTCAGTGAACAAAGCTGAAGGAGCTAAAATCCAACTGGTCTGGAGCTTCCTGTTCCCAGCTGGTTTTCACACTTCTCATGTACAGCAACGCTACTAAGTGAATCCTGCCTCCTCACCCTCCTGGGTCTGCACCGTAAAGACTCTGAAAGCTCTGCGACGCGCACAGGCCCGACACTCGGGATGCGCTGACCCACCGCCCCACGGCTGCCTCCACCAGAGCAGCAGGCTTACTTGTGAGTAGCAACCACAGAGACCAGATCACATACAAATAACGTAGAATACACAGTGCCGGGACCGTGCCGAGCCCTACCCATTGCCCTGCCGAGCAAGGTGGTAGACGATGGTGGCAGAGGTCACCGTCTTCCCCGTGCCTGGTGGTCCCTGGATCAGGCTCAGCGGTCTCTGCAGCACAGTCTTGACAGCGTAAACCTTCGGATAACAGGCAGTCGTTAGGCTGCAGCCACCTCCGGGGAGTGGGGGGCCACCCACCCAAGCAGGCTCTGCCAGCCAGGCCCCTCCTATCCCCCAGAAGGGGTGAGAACCTGCGAATGGTTGAGGTCAGGGAGCCCCTGTGCCGTGAAGCGCTTCGGCAGCTGGCACTTGATGATCACATCCTCCACCTCGTGCCCGAGCAGCTTGTGGTAGATGTAGCCCGAGACAGAGGTCTCATCCACAGCAAATGTTTTCAGCGCGCTCTGCATCCTGGAAGGCAAGCTCGGGGTCAGCGGCATGCACACGACCATGGAGCGGTGAAGCCTGGCTCTCGCGGGTGAGCAGAATCGTCCAGATGCCGGAGGCGGTGGGGCACCCCAGAGCAGATGCAGTGGCACGGGCAGGGACAAGGTGGACGTACCTATCAAACGAGGTTGACTTCCACACGAAATCCACCTGGAAGTTGTGAGTCACCTCCACGGGCGCACCCACACTGCTCCGAAGCTCAATGGCGATCTCATCGCCATAATCTGTGCCGCTGAGTTAAGTTTCATCGTTGTCAAAAGCTGAGTTTACCTTTCTGAGGAGCCTTCATTTGGTGACTGAGGAAAAAGACCCTCCTCTGCGCCAAACACAGAAGACTCAGCCCGCCCGGCCTGTGCTCACCGCCAGACGCCGGCCCAGTGTCGGGGCCCCTGCTGCCAGCTCCCGTGCCCTCCCTGTGAGCACCTGGGCAGCGCCCAGCATGGAGCACGCCGGCCGGGGGTCGGGCTGAGCCGCCAGAGCCCTGGGGCGCAGAGCTGGGAGCACCCTGGCTTCAGGCTAGGCAGCTCTTTGATCAGTTTGATACACATGGTGCACCTCCGAGTACAACTGAAGAAAGGACTCAGTGGCAAACACCATTCGGAGGGGCCCCCCCAGCGTGGCCGCCCACAATGCCCTCTCCTCCACCTGTGGCGATCCCCACACAGGCCGCCTGTGCTCAGGACGAGCTCACCCGTCTTTACACAAAGGATACTATCAGGGACCTTGATGACGTGGCCGATCCCTTTCCACAGGGGTGCCAGATCCCCTTTGTACCTCAGGCATATCTCATCCCCCTGCATGAGCCGCATGTCTTACAGAGAAAAGACAGCAAGAAAGTTAGCGCTTTCAACACGTGCCGTGGCTGCCATCATGAAGAGTTCAAATTAAGGGACACTTTACAAGGGTGAAACTAGGAATTTTATGCTACTTATGGTCACAAATATTTTAAAACTTAAAATCACCTCTTAACCAAATTATGACTAAATCCTCATTACCAGAGTCAGTCTTGGGCAAAGTGAAGTAGGCGATTCTCTTCTTGTTAAGGCCCAGGTCCCACCTGACCGTGATGTTATCTTGAGTCTGAGCACATGAAAAATAAGAGCCCTGTTAGCCTGAGACACAGACACGGCCCTGGACTCCTCGTGTCTGCGTTTCCACAGGTGTGTGCCCTACGGCGACCTTACGAGCCGTGACGTCAGGGTGCCATGCGCAGCACCCAACAGCCTGCGACACCAACAAGGGCACGTCCGGGAGAAAAGCCATTAGGACCCCCAGACCCCGCTCAGGATGACCAGGAGACCCCCACACGACGTCTGCTCTCGGAGGCGGCTTCTCTGTGAACTGCGGAGGGAGAAGGAAGCTGGCGGCCGGCCGTCTGAGCTCCCGCCGCCTCGAGGTGATCTTCGCGGGACTGGCACAGGGGTGCCCTCGGTGCGCCACAGGCTCCTCGGTTCTGACGCTCGTAGCCGTGGGCAAAGGCCGCGACCGCGACCGGGAGGGATTTTTGTTGGCTTTTACATCAGAAAACACTCAGGCCGGCGTTCAGCTCTGAGCGACCGGGCGTGCGCCCAAGGGTCACTCCCTCGCCTGCCCTCAGTCCGCCGTCTGTCTCTCCGGGCACCGCGCCTCAGCCCGCAGCAGCGTCCGCAGTTTGCACAGGAAACCGCCCTCCCCAGACCTTAGGAGAGAGGCTGTGTTAAAACGACCGAAACCCTCCTGCACACACCACATCACCTGGGACTCTTTCAGTTTCTTATCGTAGTCGGCCTCCAGCTTGACCAGAGGGCCGAATATGTTCTGGTACTGGTAGGCATCCTCGTACCGCAGGAGGACGTGCTGCGGCTCCTCGTCCACGCCTGGCTTCTCCAGGTCCTCCAAGGTGGCAGAAGGGTTTTCCTAGAAGACAAGCACCAGGCCGGTTCTTCCCCATTTTCGCCTACAGACGAGAGGAACTACACGCGGGATCACTAGTCACTAGAAGAACAAGGCCTATCCGTCACCTCTCAGAACGAGCCGAGGTCGGCCCGTCATACAGAGGGCACCGGTGGTTGGTGGTGTCCCCTCCATGAGGACAGCTCTCGTACGGGGAAGTGTATGTGGCACGGGGAGGTGGACACTGGCCTGGGTCTTTGCTCACCCTTCAGCCACTGCCCCTAACCCTCCCCTGCCCAGGGCCACACCGACAGGGTGAATACTGGGGAGGACACCTCAGGTATCAGGTACACAGCCCGACACACCTGCACCACCAAATGGCTTCATTCCCCAACCAACGCCTAGTCCCTGAACTGAAAGAGAGAATACCTCTTTCGAGCTGCCAGAAAGACCACTAGTTCTCTGCTTGTGTAAATAGAAGGGGAGGCCCTTCTTCCCCCCACCAGTGCCCCAATTTCCTCCTGACCCTGTGCTGCACCGACAGGGGCGACACACTCCTCCCTGGCAGGGACAGAACGGTATCTGGGCTGTGTGGCTATAAACGGGAAAGGTCAAAGAGTTCTGGCCATCCAAAAATCAAAGCAGAAGGGCACCTTGCTAGATGATACTTGAGAAATATTCTGACTTGCACTCAAATTGAAAATAAACTCACATTTAAGATTCTGGATTATATGGGCACCTAATTAAAATTTATAGCCCAATTACTAAAACTTTATCATAAAAGCTGAACGGCCAGAATCAGAGAAGGGCTTCCTGGAGAACTGGGTCTGTCAGGCAGGGCAGGCACCCCACCACCCAACCTGGAAGCCCCTCCCCTTCACTCATCCAGCTGCGGTAGACCCTGCTTCTCTGACCTTTGTGACCTGGACTCCTTTTCCCCTGGACATTCACCCCTGGCCTGGTGTTACCCTGGCTGAGACACATCACAAGCCCAACGAGGTCTTACAGCACCCTCACAGTCCTGTCTCCCCAGGCCCGGCTCCTCCTGCCATGTGCATCCTCAGCCACCTACGGCCAGTTCTGACCTTCCTCCTTCCCACCACCCACCCTCGCCCTCGCCCTCTGCAACAAAAGAAAAATTCCAACAACTGGAGCTGTCCTTTCCTAGAGGCCTGGCAGGAGGTGCCTGTGGGATTCCACCAAAGGGCCATTCCAGGTAGAGACTGCAGTCTCTCGCTCAAGTTCCTTCCAGAATCTCCTGTTTTGAAGACACTCCCAGCAGCTCTCCCTGGACAAGAACCGTGCTGAGGCAGATCTGCATTCTCAGCAGGCCCTCACCTTCCAGAGCTCCTCCAGCTTGTTGATCTGCTGGGCGGTGATCTGCCGGGCCCGCAGCTGCTCTTGCTCAGAAGGGATCTTGACCAGCCAGGAGAGGAAGCAACGGTCCTGGATCAGGGGCTGCCACTGGGAGCTGTCCCAGTTGATGTCCTTGAGGCTGCTTTGACTGGCGCAGGGCTGCCTACAAAAACACCAAGGGCAGGGAGAGCCCAGGTGAGGATGACGACCTCCGCCCACAAGCCTTACCTTTCATCCCCAAGTGACGTTCCCTGAATTTTACTATGTGATCATATTACCTTTAAATTGTTGGTAATACATTGCCTCTCCCCATGCACTTGAGCTCTGAACTCTTAAAACTCCTAACACTGTTTTTACAGAATTCTTTTTATGATTTAACCAGAACACACCCCAAAAGAGTTACTCAGCATTCCCAGTTCTCTAACGAGCCCCAGCCCCCAAATATCCTCACACCTCTCTAACCGGCAGAACCGGCCCGCTGGGGCTGAGTGCCCCGCCCCCGCCCTCACCTGCACAGCAGCACCACCACCGAGTCGGCCTTGGCAGGGATGAAGCCAAGGAGGAAGACATTTCGGCAGCCACAGTTGTAGCACTCCAGAACTGTCTCCCCCAGGGGCCCATCCTTGTGCAGAGTCACCTCTTTGCATTTTGCCCTCACGAGGTGATTTACAATGTGGCTGAAACCAGGAAATGATAAATAGTTAACACCCAAAGTCTGGCTTTTCACCACTTCCAATTGTCGAGCCCCCCGTTAAAAGTTCCGGTACCGTTCACAGTCCATTAGCAGGGGCGGTCACACCTCATCCATCTGGCGTCCCAGGGGACCAGCCCGCCCCTGAACTGGCTCCCCACTGAGCGCAAAAATCAATCTGACTTGAACAGCCTTTAAGGAAAACGCTCCTAACACGTTTCACATAGTTCTTGCTTCTTTCTTTTAGTTCCTGCTTTCTGAAATCCTACGGACAGGGCCTGAATGAACCTACAGTGAGGCAGGCGGCCTGCCGCTTCCACAGCTCCTCTCCACTTGCTGAGGCTCCTCGGCTGCTGCCCCCACTTTCGACGTCGCCTCTCCGGGCCCCTGTGCCTGCTTCCAGGAACAACAGCCCCTCCTAATTTGCTGCAGGCCAGGAAACTTGATAACCAACCGTATTAGAAACCTGAGGACAGTAAAAAATACTGAGCAGTGGGGCTCAGGGCTACTCTCAGGAAGCGGAGGGCCGGTTCTGAACTGTCTGAAACCCCGCTGTCTCGGCTCTTTCCTTACCGCCGCGTGGCCAGGACTCTGCTGTCCCTCCCACTTCCGGGACACAGCTCACTTACTCCCAGGGCTTGCAAACGCTGCCCCAAGACAAGCCAGCCTCGCGTGGGGCCCATGGGTGGCGCCTGGCTCTGCCTTAGGCTCTCCCAGCTACCTGTAGCCTTGCCGCGGCTCTGTCAGACACCGAGCCCGCCAGGCATCCAGCCTGCCTGGTCGCCGCCCTCCCCGACCTCGGGGAAACCCCTTGTTGCAAGCTTCGGCTCAGACGCCACATTCTAACCCCCTCTGGCCCATTCTAACCCATGAAGCCAGTCAGATCATCTAACCAGCTGTCACCACTCTCGGCACCCACAAAGCGCCCACTCTTCTGAAGCTGTCACAACTGGGCATTTTACCGGACTCTGACTTCCTCTTGTCTTTCCTACACCCACCTCACCCCTTTATACTGGAAGCTCCCTGAAGGCAAGTGGCTGCCCCATCATTTTACCATCTGGCCTCATACAAACACTCAGTGCTGACTGATGGGGTCTGTTTTCTCTTAGAGGCCTTTCACTCACTTCCCTGATCTTGGCTCTGCTGACCGGAAGCTGGGGTTGCCAGCTAAGAAGTTTTATTTAATTGCTTTTCCTGCAGGAGAGGAGCTAATGCAAACATAGTAATGCTGAAATTACCCAGAACATTCTGAAAATGGGACATGAATCTGGTTACCCTGAAGATGCTTTTCCTTTCACATCTTTAGAATTAAATATCAGCCCACTTTCTTGCCTCACCCAGAATCCCACAGTTTGCACTGCTAACTTTTAAGATGACACGAGATCTGACCACTGTATCCTCAGGCAGCACGAGATGGTGAGGCCTGGCCTGCAGCTGTGGAAGACACAGGAAGGGTGGGGGCTCTGTGCAAATAAACCTGCCTATGGGGTTTTGTCACTGTATGTCTCCAAAACACGAGCCCAGGAAGATGCTGCTTTCTTGCTGGCAGCCTGGAGCCCTATCCCACAGGACCCTGCTCTGCTTCTCCATGACAGTGTCGTGAGCTGTCACACACCACGGCAGCTCTGGAGGAGCCACCAGCACTGGATTCTCCCCTGGAATCCAAGCCCCAGCACAAAACTGGTCTCACCCCAAACACAAAACACAAAACAAGAGACCCAGTCACAGCTGCTGCTGATCAACAGCAGGAAGGGAAGCCCAGAGACGACGGTCAAGTGAACTTAATTTAATCCGATGATTCAGGATCTGGCCCGTATTAGCCTCAGGACTGCTCCGATGAGCTAAGGCCAGAGGGAGCCTTCTCAGGAAGCGGCTCCCATGGATGCCCATTACTGTCTTGGGAACATCCTCCTCAGGCACCCAGTAATGAAGATGAACGGGCGTGCCAGGAGCTCTTCTTGCAGGAAAATATAAATAAAAACTGGGAACGAGAATTAAGCCAACCCTACTTGCATAATAAAAAGAACCACAGAGAATAAATCAAGGGTAAATACATTAAGGCATTCACACACCACCATCTGTTTCAAGTTAAACCAGTCACAGAGGAGGGAAAAAACCAGGTTTGTTAGCGTGATTTTATATTGTGCTTTCGCTTCAACATTTCCATAATTTACACACAAATCTGAGCACAGCACTGATTAAAGACACATGCACCGTCTGATTATCTACCTGCCAGAAGTATTTCCACGCCCGTTACAGAACCACTTCTTGCTGGTGTTACAGTAAACCACGCAAGCAGGATCGTGTATTCCGCAGTAACTAAAAAAGTCAAAACATCAACAGTTAAAGCTGGAAGGTCTCTCTCTGGTTTTAATTTGGCAGGATGTAAAATTCTTTCCTCTTACAACATTTTAAAATTTTTCATTAAACACATACTCAAACCCAATGATCCCACTAGCAAAATCCAATCAGTTAAACTGCAGAGGCTTCCTGACCCTGCAAATGCAAGGAAAGGGTACAGGGTGCTGTGGGGGTTCCCGAGAGAGGCCCTAGGCAACAGCAAAGCCCCTGCCAGGTGGGGGATAAGAGCTGTGGAAGGTACCAGGGGAACCCAACAACAGAGGTCTGATGCCCCAAAGCAACCCTTAGCCACCCCACTTTGGCCTTAAGTTTCAGAAACCGTGACTTATAAGCAGGGAAATCAGCATCCCTGGCTCTGGGCACACAAGAGTCAGGCTGTGACCACACTGCGTTCACAAGGCGCTCCACTCTCCGGCAGAGGGCGCCATGCTCCCGGGAACACTCGGGAGCTCAGACCCAGCAGCAGAGGGTCTCCGGGTGCGGGTACAGACTGAGCTCAAGCTTGCAAGGAGCACCTCAAGAGAGCCCCCAGCCTCATTCTTCTGAAAATCAACACATCAAAAACAAAACCCGGCTCGCCACAGAGTTCTGAATGTGTATGAAGCCAAGCCTCAGTCTCAAACTAGAATGTGCTCCAGACAAGAACCTTCCCCCAATACCCCACACCATGGGGACAGCTGGGCGGGTGAGGGGGTGTGCAAACATTAAGCACCTGCAGCTTTACTAGAACCACTTCACCGGCAAATGTGTAGATAACAGAACACTAACACATCACTAACACATATGTAAAAAGATTTTAAACAAGTGAGAAAAGAGCCAAAATAAAGTTAAAAACAGAAAGCCAAAATAAAGTTCAAAAAAAAAAAAAGGTCTCCCCACAGAGCAGGGAAAGAAGCAGCACTCTGTTCTGTGGTGGGCACAGACTTCGGAGGGGCAGTGTGCCTGGGAGGCCAGCAAGACAGTGTCATGGCCCAGGCCCAAAGTGGCCCTGACTGGCCAGGTGTCCTGAACAAAATCAATTCATCTCTTTTGGTTTCAATTTCCTTGTGTACGTGTAACAGAAAAGTAAGAAGTCCAATATTAAGGGTCCAAATACAAGCGATGGGTCCTGCTCTAAATGAGAATTCCAAATTTGGCCAAAAGCAGTTCTATCCACGGACTATTCAATTCCAATTTTTCGGGAATTTTGAACACATCAGAGAGGCAGATATTTTAAAGTACCCTACATTCATCTCTTTGTAAAAGAAATCTTAGCTGCTGTTTACCCTCTGAACCGAAGTCCTCACCAAATGTGAGTTTGTTTTGAATGAGTGAGTGGGACAGGTACCGGGAACCACCAGGACCTAAGAGAAGGCAGAGAAGGGGAGCCTCTCCCCTACCCTCTGGGTGAATCAGGGGTATCAGAGGGGGCTGATCCCACCCTCCTGCCCAGTAACAAGGACTATGTATACATTGGCCTGAAGAACCTTATTTTGTAATACCACGTCACAGTCCCTCATCTTAGATGGGCTTCTAAAGCCAGCAAACCCACTCAAGAATGCAAGAGCTCTGGGAGGTAAGTCTGCGCCTCCACCATCGGCACTTACCTGCAGGCATGCACAGGGAGATCCTTCGTGTAGTAAGTATCTTCTTCATCTTCTTCAAAGTTCAACTCAGCCAACAACTGGCTGGTCTTGGCCACGCTGTCATCCACGGCCCCATTCTGCAGAATGCCCTCTGGTCCACCAACCTACAGCAGAATAGCACCATTACCACGCAAGGCTGCAGCTCTCGGGCCTTAGACGAGGCACATGGGTTCTCCCCAAACGAGCAGCCACGGCGACCTTCCCAAGAAGCGCTGGCCTGCTCTCCACTTCGAGAGTTCAGCTTCTTCTGATTGGACTTTTCACACTCTCCACCTCCCTCTTAAACCTACCTAGCCAAAAACAGGGTGCTGGTGGCGTAGGTCATCCACCCTGCCTCCTGCATATCCAGGTCCAACCCCACCTGGTCAAAGAGCCATGACCAAACCAGGATGCTGAAGAAGACGCTTCGTTCCCATGATGGGGGGGGTGGGGGCACAAGGAGCAAGATGACTTTTTACAAAGCAGTTGCAATCCCCTCTGGGGACAGCTGCACAATGTCAGGCCAGACGGCCTGGAATCCCACCAGAGTGAAGGTTCCTGCCAAAGCCTAAGCCAAAAGTAAAGGTTGTGTCCACTGGAAATGTGAGAGAGCAGTTCCCTCGTTAGTCAACATACTTCCTTCACTGCCAGTTTCCCTCTCTAGAAGGCAGCCCTTCTTCATTATGAATTAGAAGTTCAATGTTTAGGATAACCTTCTGAACTCAGGCTATAACCTTACTACATGTATTACCTTTTATAGGTTACAACAGCAAAAACATACAAACAGGCAACTTTAACAATACCCATGAATTTCACGGGCACTTCTGAGCTCACAAGTCCATTCAGAGGCACACAGATTCAGCTCACCAGAGAGGGGCATTCCTAAAGCCATCCCCAGGAACCTCGGGTGGCAGTTAATAGTCCTTGTCATTCCCCCCCCCCTCCTGTGGGGATGACACATCTCCCATATGAGGCTCGGTCAGGCAGCAAGGGCGTGGAGTGGTGATGAGGGCAGGGAGGAATGACAGGAGCCCCAGGGCAGGCACTAGGTTTTTCTGAACTGTGAGAGAGGATCAGACACTGGCCCTTGCCCTCAAAGAGCCCCTGCCACCTAGAGCCGTGCCATGTGGGGCCGGCTCAGGCCAGTGCAGCTCAGGCCAGCAGTGCCCACAGGACCCTTCCCTCTCCACTGCTCCAGCCAAGTCACCTGGAAGATTCTAAAGACAGCAGTTCAGGGACTCCTGCGTGGCTCAGTGGGTTGAACCTCGGATTCTTGGTTTCAGCTCAGGTCATGATCTCAAGGTGGTGGGATAGAGCTTTATACCCCACCCCCCACCCCCGCTGCTGACTCAGCTTGGGATTCTTTCCCTCTTCCTCTCCCTCCCCCTCCCCTGCTTGAGAACTGCACTCTAATAAATAAGTAAATAAAATCTTAAAAAAAAGGGGGGGGGGGGCGCCTGGGTGGCTCAGATGGTTAAGGGTCTGCCTTCGGCTCAGGTCATGGTCCCAGGGTCCTGGGATCAAGCCCGGCATTGGGCTCCCTGCTCTGCAGGAAGCCTGCTTCTCCCTCTCCCACTCCCCCTGCTTGTGTTCCCTCTCTCACTGTGTCTCTGTCAAATAAATAAATAAAATCTTAAAAAAAAAAAAAAAAGGGTGCCTGGGTGGCTCAGTTGGTTAAACGACTGCCTTCGGCTCAGGTCATGATCCTGGAGTCCCAGGATCGAGTCCCGCATTGGGCTCCCTGCTCGGCGGGGAGCCTGCTTCTCCCTCTGACCCTCCCCCCTCTCATGTGCGCGCTCTCTCTCATTCTCTCTCAAATAAATAAATAAAATCTTAAAAAAAAAAAAAGACAGCAGTTCATTTGAGGAGGGGGGGAGGCAGGAATTGGGGGTGCATTGCCCCCTAGGGGGCATTCTGGAAATTGCAGGGGTAAATTTGGGTTTTAAGTAGGGGGTCAGCCCAGACCAGACCACCATTTCACAGCTTCTGCCACTACTTTAACGTACTTTTTTCATGTAGGCAACAACCAACTTAAATGCAAGAAAACTGCGCTTTGTTTGGGGGGAAAAAAGGTTTTTTTCCCCAAAGAAAAATCAAAATCAACTTTTGGATTTTAATGCAAAGAAGATGGTGCTATAACATAATTACAAGCATTTCTTTATGAATCCCTGATCTCTTTTTAAAACTGTGGTAAAATACACACAATATAAAATGTACCATTGTGGGGCGCCTGGGTGGCTCAGTCGTTAAGTGTCTGCCTTCGGCTCAGGTCATGATCCCAGAGTCCTGGGATCGAGCCCCACGTCGGGCTCCCTGCTCCGCGGGAAGCCTGCTTCTCCCTCTCCCACTCCCCCTGCTCGTGTTCCCTCTCTCGCTCTGTCAAATAAATAAATCTTTTTTTAAAAAAATGTACCATTGTAACTATTTTTAAGTGTACAGCTCAGTGGCATTAAACACATTCATATTATTTTGCAACCATCACCACCACGCATCTCCAGCACTTTTTCATCTTCCCAAACTGAAACTCTGTCCCCATTAAACACCAACTCCTCATTCCCCTCCCCTAGCCCCTGTCTCCCACCGTTCTACTTTCTGTCTCTGTGAATCTAACTATCCTAGAGACACCATATAAATAGTCTCATAGTATTTGTCTTTTTGTGACTGGCTTACTTCACATAGCATAATGTCCTCAAGGTTCATCCATGCTGTAGCGGGTGTCAGAATTTCTTTTTTTTTTTTTTTTAAAGATTTTATTTATTTATTTGACAGAGATAGAGCGAGAGCAGGAACACAAGCAGGGGGAGCAGGAGAGAGAGAAGCAGGCTTCCTGATGAGCAGGGAGCCCAATGCGGAGCTCGATCCCAGGACCCCGGGATCACGACCTAAGCCAAAGGCAGACGCTTAACGACTGAGCCACCCAGGTGCCCCAGAATTTCCTTTTTGAAGGCTGGGGGCACCTGGGTGGCTCTGTCAGTTAAGCATCTGACTCTCGACTTCAGCTCAGGTCATAATCTCAGGGTTGTGAGATCAAGCCCCACATCGGGCTCCGAGCTGGGTGTGCAGCCTGCCTGAGATTCTCTCTCCCTTTCCATCTGCCCCCCACCGCCGCCGCACATACAGGCTCTCTCTCAAAAAAAAAAAAAAAGTCCTTTTTTAAGGCTGAATAACATTTCACTGTATAGATACACATTTTGTTTATCCATTTATTCTTCAGTGGGCACTTGGGTTTCTTCCACCTTTTGGCTGCTGTGAACATGGTATACAAATACCAAGTCCCCACTTTCCATTCTTTTGGGGATATGCCCAGAAGTGGGCTTGCTACATCTTATGGTAATTCTCTGTTTAACTTTTTTAAGAAACTGCCATAGGATTTTCCATAGAGGCTACACCATTCTCCATTCCCACCCACAGTGCACAAGGATTCCAACTTCTCCACAGCCTCATCGATACTCATTATCATTTTTGTTTGTTTGTTTTTAAATAGCCATTCTAATGAATGCCACCTGATATCTCATTGTGGTTCTGACCTGAATTTCTCTGATAGCTAATGAAACCAAGCCATCTCTTTATGGGTTTGTTGGCCACCTGCATATCTTCTTCGGAAAAATGTCTATTGAAGTCCTTTGCCCATTTTTAATCGACTGTTAGATTTTTTGAGTTGTGCTCTGAAATTCTGATAGCTGGCTATCACTTTAAAAAGTCACCTCTGTTTCCCAACGCTTCTCCTGACACCACTCCTGGTGTGACTGTGCCCAGGCACACACACGTTGGCTTCCTGAAAGTGTGTAGCCAAGTTAGGGCACCTGGATTTTACCTTATGGCAGTGAAGGAAGTATACATATCACACCACAGAAGGCAGCAATTAGAAATCGACATCTGTGACCCCTTAAACTCAATAAATTGGTTTCTCAAGTATTTGAGATAACAATGTTTTTAAGAATAATATGAAACTCGCACTTCTTTTTACTTGATCTGAAACTATTCTTTCCATAGATCTGGTACTCTGAGCTTAGATAAATGGGTATTGATACCTTTTATGACTTAACTCTGATCAGCTTTCATCTTTCCAGAGAGAAATGTGCTACTTTTCCAATCTAATCTAAGCAGAAAAACACCTTAAAACCCAGGAACACCAGAGGGCTAAGAAGGTAGTCCAGTAGGAATCAGCTCGCGGGCCCCCACCCCCCAAGCTCAGAACAGTACTTATATTTTTAAATGGTTGGATTATCCTCAATTTTGCTTCTTGTCCCACAAAGTCTAGAATATTTACTATTGAGTCCTTTAAGAAAATGTTTACAGATTCCTTGCCTAGAACAACTCGTAAAATTTTTTATCAGGTTGCATAAGCTTTTACGTATAAATAAATGCCCTTGGTGATACCTGAACCTTTACTTTCCTGAAATATCAAAACTAGTACATAGAGTAATATAGAAAAGTACACACCACCCAGATGCCCTCTTTCAACCCATTCCTGCCTCATCTGGGCCTCAGATCCCACAGTTCACCTCCCATCACCAGGGGGAGGCTTGACCCAGCAGAGCACACATCCTGACCAGCCATGTGGGGACCCTCCCTGCACCACACTTACCCCTTCAGGTTAATAAGGGGCAGGAAATTTAGGTCTGCTCTCAGAACTCTTGGGAGACAGTATGATACAGATACAAGGTCAGGTAGACTCTCCGCACCTCCACTGAAGCTGGGGAGGCTGGAGAGAAGAGTCCAGATTTCCCAAGGCCCAGAAGCCCCCTAGCCCCCTGGTTGGGAAACGTGTACATGCACCACCCCCTACACCCCCAACCCCACTCCCAGCTCCCACTCAGCCCCACTCCTGCCCAGCTATGATCTGGCCACAACACAAACTGACTTCTATTGCTGGGTTCTACTCTCTGGGAAGTTTTAAGATAAACATTAACTTCAAAAATGCATTTGACCTTAGAAACTATAATTAGTTAAAACAAAGCACTAGAGAGTGCCCGGCACAGAGAAGGTCCACAACCAGTGCCAGGTGACACGACGGGAGGACTGAAGGGTCCTTGTCCTTGGCCAGTACAGGACTGAGGTCCTCTGAGGTTATCAACCTCTCACTTCCAGCCAGGACCCCTGGCGCCGGCTAGGCTGAGGGGCA